ATATTATAAACAATTAAACAACACGCCCACTTTCGGGTTTAATTTGCAATAACATTTTTTAATTTAGAAAATCTCATTTGAAAGAGGAAGTATTTTGGTATGGAAGTATCTGGAATGAGAACGATATTAAAATGAATGGAAAAAGTCCCTTTTTTGCTTATTTGTCATGACGCAGTAAAAGTTTCGACATCTCCAGATATACCAGTTAAAAAATAGCGCCGAATAATTTTCCGATTTTTCAAGTAATTTTTCGGCTTCGTTTCATGGGATAATAAACTATAAACAACTTTTATTTCTTTGAATAAAAAAAATAAAAAAATAGTGTTAATTGTGTCTGAAGATAAGTGAGTTAAAAAACACTTACAGAAATTAAAACATTTCTCAAATCAAAGCTGACAGAGCACGTTAGTTACTAGTCTAAGAGCCAGTGGGCGGCTACCTATATGTATTTGACGATACCTGGATTTTTGTACAGTGAGACCCCTATACCTACTGTACATGAGATGGAGAGTCACTAAGCTCCAGGTGGCCGACTTGGCGGGCGCTCTGGTAAGACAGGTATCAATTTTTGGCCAATTTTATAAGTATTTGACGACGTCTGCCGCTTTGAAATTTGAAAATATATTAATATTATTATCAGAAAATAACAATGGCAGACCATTATCGCGCGGTTTTCATTGCGGCAGACAATTTTGAAAGTGCTCAAAAAAATAAAATTTTCAAAGTAATTGACCAGATCTGCCAATAATATATTTCATTTATTAGGGTCTTAAAAACTTATATTGATCATGGCAGACGTCTTCATCGTGGACATACTTCAGTAGACAAGAAAATCTTAGCTATTATCCGGTCAGAAGTATGCATAGACTGTCTATAGCTATCTTTCTTTTATTCTCTATGAATCACTATTATACTTATTCTAGCTTATACTTCGTTCTGGAAATCTTACGGAGTGACGTATTTTTAAAGTATAGACAGCTTGGAGGAACTGTTCGAGGAATACGCAATTTACGAGCAACAAACATTGAATGGTGAACACGGTAAAACAGCTAAATTTTACATTATTTATATCAAACTCGTTGATCATTACTTACAACTAAGTAGGAGCATTCGTGTTGGTGATTTCCAATTATATCTTGACACCTTACCAAAAATAACTAATTTATTCTTTGTACTTAACCATCAAAATTATGCAAAATGGGCAGTCCAATATCATTATAATTTGGTAAAAGTTCCGACTACTCATCCCGGTTTAGAGCAAGATTTTCAAAATGGATTTATCGGAATCAAATGGACCGATAAGCCGTTTTCAAGGCAACCTATTGATCTTACATTAGAGTAGACCATTAATGCAGATGCTGCGAGAACACTTACTGGTATCTCACATCTCACTCACTCGATTTCAGCTCGTCAACGGTAGGCGAGAAGTTACGATATCCGCTCAAGTATAATTACACACGTATTGGATGAGTTAATAATTACCAAGAAGCAAGATATTTCACCTGAGTTACAACCACATAACATTAAGAACAGTTGTCAACAACTTGAAAAATTTATTAACGCATTTGATCAATATGTGAATCCCTTCGGCTTAGATTTATCACCCGATCAATTATTCAACATAGGTTCCGGAAAATCTGCGTCATCTCAAGTGGAAGAGTTCCTCTTAAACAACCAAAAAAATGGCGGAGAGCTACGAACAAATTTCATCTCGGAATGTGCATCTGATTCGAAAAGATTTGAAAAGGCCATCAAAAAGACTCCGATACACAACTTTTCCAGTCTACTTTTAAAAAATAAATCTGTAAAAATCGGAGGTAAGCAGCCAGATATCAAGCTACAGCGAGATTTATTTGGACATTTGTTGGGAATTTCAATGGACCATCAAATTGATGTTCTCAAAATTTTAGCGTATCCAATATCTCCTGTACCTCTTGCTTTATGTCATCTCGATGGTAGCTTCTGCAAAACTGATAAATCCGTTCTTCTAAAATGCCTTGAACCAAATGTTGATCAAGAACCACCACGTAATACAGACGTATTTTTATTCGATGGATTTTTTATTCTCCATTCAATGAAAGAAGTCTCCAAAACATTCGGGAGTATTTCAAAGAAATTTTTGCAAATCGTTTCGAAATATTCCACACGAAGAATTGATGTAATCTTTGACCAATATATATTTTCATCGATAAAAGATAGTGAAAGATGTGTACGACATGAAGCGTCGTTGATTGATTACACAATTTCGGGGCCTGAACAGGTGCGACCGTCAGATTTTTCAAAAGAATTGAAGAATACTACATTCAGGGAAGCTTTGGTAGATTTTTTTACAAAACACTGGTCTAGTGAGGAAATGAAATCATTTTTGGGGTAACCGACAAATTTTCATAAATTTCCGAACTTGTCAATCATATCAAATTGTAGATGATAAGATCCAATCAAGTGTAGTTGAAAGTTTATGTTGTACCTCACATGAAGAAGCTGATACTAAGATTGTGTATCATGCTTGCAATATCACAGAGCAGTCGAATATTGTTATTAGAGCCTCTGATACTGATATTTTAATTATAATGATTGGTAATATGACACGATTACAACATGCCAATTCTAATGTTTGGATGCTCAATGGCACCGAAAATAAGGAAAGGTATATTCACATTACAAAAATTTACAAAGAGCTTGGTGAATTGCTAGCCAAAAGCTTAATCGGCTTCCATGCGTTCACAGGATGTGATTTCAATCCGGCTTTCTTTAATAAAGGGAAAAGAAGACCTTTGACCTTATTGAAGAAAAATACAGAAGTTCAAGAAGCATTTGCTACTCTTGGTAAAGAAAATTTGACAGAGGACCAGTTACAACAGGTATTTAACAGCATTCAAAAGTTTACCTGCCAACTTTATAATGCAAAAAAAATCTGTTGACGTTGATGATGGAAGATACCAACTTTTCGTCAATAATTAGGTATAAGGCTTCCGATGTCAATGAAAATTTCAGCAAAAAAATTCCGAATTTTGATGCAAGCTCAATACCACCATGTAAAAGTGAGCTTTATCAACAACTTCTGAAAGCGCATTATATTTCTACAATTTGGAAAAATGCTTACAAAAAAGAACCTACGACATTGGATCCATTAGAGTTTGGTTGGATAGAGCAAGACGAGAAATTTACATTCAAATGGTTTGAAGGAGATCAACTCCCAACTTCTGTCAGTGATTTAATCACCCAAGTTCCTGGTAAGTTCATAATAATTAATTCTTTACCGAATGTGTTCAGATCAATTTACGATTGACTTTTATTTAATAATTTATGCTTTATTTTTACAGATTCCGAATCACAGGATGATGAAGAGGAGTCCCACCTGGAGACAAATAATTCCGATGAAGATGAATAAAAATTCAAATCAATAAAAGAAAATATTTTTTGTAATTCATGATTCATTTTTTTCAATTTTGTTGTGAATAAATTAAAAGAAAAAAATCAAATAAATTGACTATTTTATCATCAAATTTCTAAATTTTAGTCCATAATTTGCAAAATGAAGTATTAATTGCTATGAATACAGTAAGAACGTAAATGATATTGATATGAAACAGGGAACGTCATACAGATACATCTGACCGGATAATAGCTAAGATTTTCTTGTCTACTGAAGTATGTCCACCATGAAGACGTCTGCCATGATCAATATAAGTTTTTAAGACTCTAATAAATGAAATATATTAATGGCAGATCTGGTCAATTACTTTGAAAATTTTATTTTTTTGAGCACTTTCAAAATTGTCTGCCGCAATGAAAACCGCGCGATAATGGTCTGCCATTGTTATTTTCTGATAATAATATTAATATATTTTCAAATATCAAAGCGGCAGACGTCGTCAAATACTTATAAAATTGGCCAAAAATTGATACCTGTCTTACCTGAGCGCCCGCCAAGTCGGCCACCTGGAGCTTAGTGACTCTCCATCTCATGTACAGTAGGTATAGGGGTCTCACTGTACAAAAATCCAGGTATCGTCAAATACATATAGGTAGCCGCCCACTGGCTCTTAGACTATACAGCAATATGTTAAAAAAATTAAAATTACTTCAAATGTAAAAATAAAAATAACAATAAAAGAAACGTTAGAAGAATGATATTTTTTTGATGAATTATTAAGGTTAGTTGTTATTAAGGTGAATGTTAGCTATTTTGAATCTTTATAAATTTTGTTCAATATATTACAATATATGTTACTCAAGTGTCCGATTTATAATTTGAAGTGTTTTTATTTTTGTTAATGTCTGTTTTGATTATTTCAAGAAAAAAATCTACTTTTGTATGAAAACACCCGTCATATGCTAGACTATAACAAAGCTCCCATTTTGGCACATCTGATAACTACAAAAGTGGATTATTTCTTGAAATGTATCACATTAACAAAAATAAAAACACTTTAAATTATAAATCGGACACTTGACATGTAACTTGAGTTAAGTAACATATATTGTAATATATTGAACAGCATTTATAAAGACTCAAAATAGCTAGAAGTGTGGAACAGCCAAATGGAGTAAACTCGAAAATAAATAAATGGGGGGTGTTAAAAAAACGCTTGTGACACGTCAATTGGTATTTTTAGTTGCGAATTTTTTGCAATAAAGACTTACTTCACACGGGGCATGTCATGTAATACTACTAATACTACCTATACCAACTTTCTTATTTCAAATAAAACACCCTGTGGATTCTTCAAAATATTCTGGATATATCTTATGTTCAATGTCTTATACCTATCTTTTTCGGTCTCGGAAAAGATAGGTATTTTTGGCAACTTGCAAAAAAATAGCAATAAAAAAAAGGAAATTATCTGAGTACAGAAATTTGCTACAACACACTGAAAAACTAACAAGTGATACTGTTTATTTCTTAATAATGTAAAACACAAAAAAACATTCATGTGAATATGGGAGATTTTTAAAATGTTCTAGTACTAATATAATAACTTTATGTATGTTTTGAGGTCACTAAATGGGAATGGAAGAGGCTGAAACCAAAAGGAACAAAAATTGGTCATTTACCTTGCCCTAGATTAGGACATAGTTTCACTCTAGTAAATTCAAAAGTGTACCTATTTGGTGGATTAACAAATTATAGAACAGATCGCAAAAAATTCCTTCCAAGACATTTGAATGATCTTTACATATTAGATATTAGAAGTAACCCTATGCAGTGGGATTTTCCCCAAACCAATTGGACTGGTCCCACCCCAAGAGAATCTCATACTGGGATAGGATATGTTAATAAAAAACAGGATTCCTTTTTAATTATATATGGAGGTATGAATGGACGCAGGTTAGGAGATTTGTGGTTTCTGCAAACAGAAACAATGACTTGGATGCAACCACAAGTTTTTGGTCTTGCACCCCTGCCTAGATCTCTACACACCTCTACATTAATTGGCCATAGAATGTTTGTTTTTGGAGGATGGGTTCCTGCTGTCCCGTCAAAAGATGAAAATGCTATCGAAACGACCTGGAAGTGTACAAGAACCTTGGCATGCCTTAATTTAGAAACTATGAGCTGGGACGAATTGAATATTCAAAAAGAATCTGAACTTGATCTACCTTGTCCCAGAGCAGGGCATTGTGCAGTGGGAATTAGTACACGGCTCTATATTTGGTCTGGTCGGGATGGATATAAAAAAATCGGTAAAAATCAGGTAGTAACTTCCAGAAATTACATTTCATACAGTGAGTAACTAAGACTTTTTATTTTAGGTATGCTGCAAAGATTTATGGTATATAGATGTAGATAAACCTCCTGCTCCTGGTCGTGTATCTTTAGTTAAAGCAGGAACACACAACCTTGAAGTTAATTGGACAGGAGCAATATCTGTACATACATACATCTTACAGGTAATACCATTTATATGCATTCATTAATTTTAATATCTTGAAAATATAACTGAATAGTTAGGTGTACTCACTACAATAATATCAATAGTTGAACAAAAGAATTGATATGGCTATATTATATCATAGTTATGTCATATCAGGAGCGTGTGATCTATGGAAGCAAGGGAACCATGGTTTCATTAGGTTTCTCTAGTAATACAGTACCAACTGAGTAATTGAGAATATTTTTTAAAAATTTGAACAAAGACAATGCTCTAATTTTTAAATTTTTTAATCTTGCTCTTTTCTGAACTATTTTCATTCTCAGATAATTTATTTAATGTATTGCAATGCAAGATAAACGATATTAGTTCCTGTGTGTCATAAAATTAACGAATTTACATATGTTACTAACAGAAAGAGAAATGACTGTGAGAAATGCTGATATAATATGATGGCAAGAAGTTTTGAGCCTAAAAGAAAAACGCATACGCAGTGATAATGTTGGAGATATTGAAACGTGCTACCGCTGACCATACTATCACTTTGTAGATCAAATATACCAACAAATGGAAAATAGGTTTAAAAATTTGAATGAATTAGATTTTCATCAGCTGTGCAATTTTAATGCATTTAACTGAAAACAAATAAAATCTTTGATACGTCTTTATGGACGATATTTTGACATGATTTTATTACGTTCGGAACTAATAGTTTTATAGGATACTGAGGACATTGACACAAAAAAGTAATGCCAACGAGGGCAGTGAGTTACTAATGTTTTTTAAAACAACTTCTTTGGTCAAAGCATATTCGGAGTTAGTGCAATAATGCGAGTTAGTACTGACCATTTCAGCTACTAGTGCGTTTGTAGAAGGTAGTTTTTTAACTCTAAAATGAATAAAGATTTACTAGCGAAACTCGGTAGGACAAGATCGATTCTCTAACGTTTACCTTTTAGTAATTGAAAATAATCTGGTTAAAGAAATGTCACAATATCCACTTTTTACAAGGAAGTTAGTTATAGACCAGTTTGCGAATAATGGTAGAAGAATTGAATTACATTATTAATACGTGAGTTTTTACAACTTTTTTATAAATTGCTTCCTTCGTTTCAAATTTCACCGCACGCCCCTGTATCATATTATGGTATACGATACGATACGATATGCGATACGATACAATTTTATAGTCAAAAAGAGAAATCATACAATTTCTACCTAAAGTGTACACGTTAGCTAGTAGTACTATAATGTATTAGAACCTAAGGAATATTGCTGAATATAACCTTAGATAAGTTTCTTGTAATATTTATATATAGAACTAACTTGCTTATTGATCATAGTGAATGATCAAATAGCAATAGTCATAAGATTCCTGTTGGAGTTTTATTAAACAAAAAAAAATACGATTTCTACCTGGCGAAATCAAATTCAAATCTTAACCACCGCGCTTTCTAAAACTTGCACAGCAAACAGCTAGATGAATAAATCGGCAAGGGAATCTAAGATTGCATTCCAAATGCCGTTCATCTTGGTCAAAATTCGTAGTGAATTCAATTTCTGGTACTCCAAACGGAGTAAAGAAATAAAACATAATGACGGTACTAGATTTTGATTCGACACAGAGCAGCGACAAGCCCCTTATACGTATTTCGACCTCTTAAGGTCTCCTAAGAACGGTATATAGTCGTTATGATCTATTTCATCTAGTTCTAGAGTCTAATTTTATAGTCGTTTATAATCAAATGTTTATTTATCATGTAGCAACACTATTTTCTAATGAGGTTCCAAGAACACAACGTGGGTCTACACATATGAGATCCAACGTTGGGTCAACTGTGTTCGCACGTTCGGTGAGGCATCTATACATTGGGTTGAGGCATCAACGGCAATACCAATATTGGCGCGAATCCCTTTGATGTGTACGCAAAATCCGACACTCCACAAAAAAACTCCCAATGTTGGAACAAGTCATAAAAACGTTGGCGCCAACATTGGCTCCAACACAGTTTTGTCGGTACACACATTGGACGAGCGCTGTTGGGTCCAACGTTGGCCCATATGTGTGGAGCCGGTGTATACATCGAAAGGACTGATAAGCAAAATTGAATTATTATACAATGCAGGGATATTTGAATACATTCAAGGGGTAAACAATTGAAAGGTAATCAAACAAACTGAAAAATAATACTCAGCATGTAAAGTATTTTCCACCTAAGAAGACCGCTTTGCAATTAAATGCTGGTAATTTTATTCTTAGCGGAGCAGATAAGCGGCGATATATTTTACACTACCTTTATGAATGTCATTTTACTGTTTTGTTGTTTTAATCAGCATTGCTCAACCAGTTATCGTTTATTGGTTTTAATATTTTATTGCAATAGTACGAGTATGGAATATTTATTTAAACAGTGAATTTATTACATGTTAATTTTTTTTTAATTTCTTCTCACGTAGCGTATAAGGTAAGTTTACCCAATAATCAAAGTTATAGCTTTACAATAACATATTATTTGAAAAATAAGGAGAACCATGTGTCATAACAATTTTAATTTCCTTTATACACATTTTAGAAATTGGTTTAGTAATGTATTTCTTAAATACACACAATCATTGAAAAATGATTCATGCTATTTAAAAATGTTTTTCTGTTAACGACACTGTTATCGACAAAGTAGATCAATTTCAAACTTGTCATGATATTAGACTTCTGTTTATCATTAAAAATTAATTGATGGTCGTGGGTTGTATTGGTGTTATTTAATAATCTAGCAAAATACATAATCAGCAAAAATCTTATTTAAAACATGCGAACGGTTTTTGCAATCACAATCAATGCAGTGTTTATGCTTGTTTAGTATTGGCTGTTAAATAATGTGTATTCGATTGTTTCGTTTGTTGTACAACCCTCGTCCTTTTTAGGGTGCAGTAGTTGTATATAATTACCTATTTGGAAGAAGTAGTTTGGAAGAAAATAAAATAAGTCGAAACATAGAATGTTATCTCCAAAAGAAAGGCGGCGTTTAGTTCTGAAAGTCGAAAATTATTTCAATTAGGAAAAAAATAATATGGGTCCATTGACATCTGTTACGGCAGTTCAGAAACGCACATGCGATGCTTGCGGTATCTCAGAGAGGATATTCCGAAGAATTAATAAGTGAGGATGAAATAAAGAAGCAAGAATCGTTGAAATCCAAAAACTTTAGATTTGCACCAGTCAATTAAACTTGCAATTAAAAATATTATATATATATATATATATATATATATATATATATATATATATATATATATATATATATATATATATATATATATATATATATATATATATATATAATATGTATAAAGCAAAACAACATGTAACAATTAGTGCTGTGTTACAAAAAATAAAAGACAAGGAACTGTGTAATATTAGCTTAACAAGTTTGTGGAGAGTGCTGAAACATTTAGGTTTTCGATATAAAAAGACAAATAATAGACAAGTGTTGTGTGAACTCCCTAATGTTGTTTTAAAACGGTGGCAATTTAAAAAAAAATACATGAACAATAAAACGTCTGATAGTTCGAGGCAAGTTGTATTTTCAGATGAAACTTGGATTTTCGCTAAAGGAAATATGTCAAAATCATCCTGGCAAGATGGCACCACGAAATGTTATTCTTCTAGTCACTCCGGTAATGGTAAACGCTACATTATACTTCGTGCTGGAAATGATGAGGGTTTTATTCCTGACGCTAGTTTAATTTTTTCGTCCACAAAGAATACAGGTGATTACCATGAAAATACGGATGCAAATATTTTTGAAGAATGATTTGAAGAAAATTTATTAAAAAAATTGGAGCGACCATCCATAATAGGGTTGGATATTGCATCCTACCACTCAAGAGTAGAAGAGAGATTTCCTTCAAGCAGCTGAACAAAAGAAATAATAAAGTTGTGGTTGACAGAAAAGAAAATTTGTCACAGTGACATATTTTTAAAGTCGATTTACTTCAAATGTGTGTTGAGCACAAAATTCAAAAGAAACTTGTTACTGACCAAATGGCTCTTAAATCTGGCCATGAAGTTCTTCGAATTCCGCCCTACCATTACCACTATAATGCCATTGAGTTAGTTTGGGGTATAACCAAAAATGTTTATGATAAACATGCATCTAAAAACGCTAGCGTTCTTAGTTTATGGAAAGAATCGTTAGAACAAATAAAGGCAACAATAGCGAAATTGTATTAGACATACGGAAGACATAATCGTACAGTCTTTTCAAACCGAGCGAGTTATAGATGAGGTTTGGCCTCTAATTATTCGGATAGACAATTCAGATAGTAACGACTCTGATAATGAAATAACAGACAGTGAATAGGACAAATCGCTTGCTAAAAACAAGTAACAAAAAAGTGTTTGGGAAATTCAATTCGGACTTTGTGGTGTATTTTAGTCAAACGATAAAGTACCTACCTTCCGTCTAATTACTGGACTGCATACTCACAATAGCTTTGGTATTAATTACTGGACTACACGTTTTTAAACTTTTTGTTTTGCTAAAAACTCGGAAGTGATTCAGTGCCAATTTGATTCAAGGTTATATTTAATCAGTTTCTGTAGAAAGTAAAGTCTTGGTTGGATGTATTTTATTCAAATTTGGATATACCAGCAACATGGCAATATTTTTCAATTTTACTGTATGCAAAACCATTCGTATAATTTTTATTCTACACAAAATAGAGACTTATAGAGACCTTGATGAACATTTGCTGTCGACAAATAATTTTGAGTATTCGAATTATTCCGTCCCACTTTTTTAACACGCCCTGTAAATACATATTGTATTCATTTTATTTGCCTTTGATACAGTAAAATCCAATATTATTACTAAATATAAAATACAGAAAATTAAATATTTTTACTTTTCAAGCGATCGGAATTAAATATTAACGCCCCACTGTTTGACGCCAACTGATCGTATCCTAATTGCATATTCGGCCGTCATAGCCATCATAACCATTTGCAATAATTTAAAACATACAACCTTTTAATGGTAAAACGGAAAAATAATTAACACGGAGATTGCAAAATGGTTGTTAAGCGAGTTACAACCGTTTTCTACGAAGAGTCATGTTTAATCTCAAAGTTGTATATCAAACTCAAGATTTTCAATAGTTAGTAAAATTACAAAACATACATCTTAAAGTAATCCCTCATTATGTTATAAAATATAGTATCGCATTAGTGTAAAAGAGTTTAATGATATCGCTATAAATTATTAAAAATACATGTTTTCGTTTTCTGCCTCTTCTGTAAAATCACTAAAAATAACTTACAACCTTGTTCTATGGGGGTGATGATATCTTCAACCTCTTAATAAGTAGTTCTGTTTTAGATACAAAAGTGTGAGATCCACCCACTTACTGAATCAAAAATCCCAGCGACCTCCACAGCTTTGGTCTCGTCATTTTTGACTCCAAAAACAACCGCTGCTTCCGTTCAAAATAGTATTACTACAAATGGTAAGTATTACAAGAATTAACAGAAAATAAACAAAATAAATATAGATGGTTGCATTTCGATTCAATTTTAGTCTCTTACCATTCTCCTACACGTTTTTCAACGTCTACGTTTTATCAGGGAAGACTTTGTGAGAGGACTGAATTGAACCGACGCGTACCATGATTATGATAATAACTAGTAAAATAATGCTCCAATAAATGCTAATAGTGATCTCCCACGAGGTTTTTTTAACTTCCCATTTATTTATAATCTGTAATATTATTACAAAAATAAGTGTCGCTTTAGTCTGCGATTTGGTAGTGGCCGCATAAGGTTTGTTGCAAGATTGGTAGGATGGTTCTGCGGCTGTCAAGCCGCAGAGCATATTTTTGGGAGCAAGTTGTGATCTTTTCTTTAACAGTCTTCACTTGAAGGTCATGCATAATGAACTTTGATTAGGTGCATACCATTGTGCATTTGCAATAACGCGTAGGATTTTTGATTTAGACCTCTCCAAGATCTCTACATTTGATACACATTTGACCTGGACGCTGATCTCCACAGCTGGATCGGCAGTAGGCTAATAGGTCTATATGATTTAATGTCTCCTATAGCTTTACCTAGCTTAGAAATTACAATAATTTGTACCGCTTTCCATGGAATACTGTAATAGCCCGTTTTTAGGTTTGGATTGACAATCTGTGTCAAGTAAAGAATTCCTTTTTGAAGAGTGGCTTGATGATTGTGGCTTGGCTGTTTCTTTGTTGCTCCTAGCCCACCCTCCATTACTTATTCGAATGGTAGGGTTGGTTCATTGAGGTCGATTTAATTTCCGTGTTTCCTTCCAAAGTGAGTACTCGGTGATTTCTGATTTGCTAATAAGTTTTTCAGATAATACTGAATACTATTATCCTTATGTTTATTTAAAATAATTTTTATTTGGGCAGTAGCTTGGTTCAGTTTGGTAGCTTGGTAGCTTGGTTTCAATTCAGTTTTATCCTCTGCCATGATCTTCTTAATCTTCAAATTCTGCAATTTTTCTACGATTTTATTAGGCGGGTGTTGCTGTTTGGTTTAAAATAGTCCTATTGGTGTTGCCTGCCAAGCTGCCTTGGGTTATTTTTGTATCCAATTTGTTATCAATAATATTCCGAAATATTTCCCAATTCGTGAATTTATTACCTAGGAATTGTCGATATTCTTTCTCAAGAATTTTTATGGACATATATGGAATTACTATGATAGTAGAGTGGTTGGATGACAATTCAAAACAACATTCTATGTTTTGGAATTCTTTTGGGATCGGTTGGCCAGTATGTAGGTTCACCTGTTGATGTATATCTAAGATTATTACTATTCATTGCCATATACAGTTGTCTGCCTTTCGGATTTATTACTCTAGATCCCCAGTAAGGGTGTTTAGCATTGTAGTGCCATCCCGTAAGAGACTTATTGCCAAGTGTGTTGAAAAACTCTTAATATTGCTGTTTATTTATTGTGTGTCGTGATGGACTGTAAATGACACTAACAGTCAGTAGACTGTTCCAGTTATCAATACTAACGCTAGTTGCTTGGATATTCTTCTTCTTCAAGTTCCGCTTCTATCGGAGATTGGAAATAATTCTGGCAATTAATTTTGTTGGTTTAATTAGTTAATAGTTCAATTCAACTGCATCCAAACCATTTACAGAGATTGCTAGCCATGAGATTTTATATCTTCCTACACTACTTCTACCTTTGATTGTGCCCTGCATTATATTCCTTAATAGTTCGTATTTTTCACATCTCATGATGTGCTTTCAACTTTCTGATTTTTATAGAATTTAAAACTTTAAAAACTTGAAATTTATGAAAAAAAAAATGAATTTAAAACTTGAAATGGACTCACACAAGCAACACATTCATGATTTAAAACTTTGCTTTGCTTTCCTAGTTGTTCGAGAACTTGTGCATTTGTTTTGCGATACATCTGTGATATTTTCAGAATACGTCCGTAACACCACATTTCGAATGCTTCCAGGTTTTTAATGTTGGATTTTTCCAGTGTCTCAAGCCCATACAAAAGCCTCGAGAAATTATAACACCGAAGCATTCTCCCTGGAGTGTTATATTGATATTGCGGTTACAGTTTATATTGCTTTGATATAATTTTTACTAAATTCTTTAATTTGGTGAGGCCTTATCGATGACCTCAATATAATTGCAGTTCCTCCATGCGCAGTGCCATTGGGATGCTTTGTATTATATATCAAGTTGTTTTTTATGTAACTTTGATTTGTAAAATGAGTTTCAGTTATTAATATTATGTCAATAGTGTGATTTGTTATAAAAGTTTTGACCTCATGGGCATGTTGTGCTACCTTCCAAATAGCTATTTTTGTAAACGTATTCATGGTGAGATTTGGGCGATAACGGTTGCGAAAAGGTTAAGCATAGTGTCCATTTGTTCCATTAGTGTTTTTAACATAGCAATAAATGCTAATAGCAACCTCCGACGAGGTAAAATAAAGTCAGTGTCGATAGCGACTAAAGTAAAATTTAAACCAAAGCTATTACAGGTTTTAGATCGATGTTAGGAATATACACATGAGTTTAAAACAATCGACTCAAAAGCCATATTTGAGATTACACATTCAGTTTCAATGTAAGAAGTATGAAAATAAAAAGATGTAATATGCAAACAATAACTTCATTATTAAACTTACAAAAATAGCTATTGCATTATTTGGAAAACGTATTCTAAAAAGAATATGCAATACGAACAGAGTTTCCTAAATATTCATCATTGGAACTAACGCAGGAAAGACGTTATGAACAGAGAAATCATCAATTACAAAATAAATTTCTTTATTTTTCAGTATTTGATATTACCACTCCTACCCTAATTACACTTTCCAATCGATTTCGTATGGATCGGATGACTTTTCTAAAAAATTCTTGAGGCACTCCCAATTATCATTAAGCACAGTTCTCAATTATTTTATGCTCCTTGGTGCATGATGTCTGTCCCGGACCATTCGTTTAAGCTTATCCCCAACATGTTCTATTAGACTTATGTCCGGACTCAACGCAGGCCAATTTATTGTAGGTATACCGATCTCAGTCGTGCGGTATAGCATCGTGCATTAAAATAAAGGCATCACCAATAAATCCTCCGTATAGAACCACATGTTCCTCTAAAACGCATCTGATGTAACGATCCACCGTTAAACTTCTTCCACGTCTTGGCACGAAAACCAGGTCTATTTTCCCATCAATACAATACACTTTGACTCTGGACTCTCAATAATGCTACTGCTTGAGCAGCTTTGACGGATGTCGTATCCATTTGTAATACAGTTGCGAACTTAACTGACTGATGCGTACGATACTAACCGAACGCGTTAAGTCGGTGCCTGTCAATTTCAATGGCTCAAATTCTGACCGTCTCTCTACCTGTTGCATTATTTATTTGTAATACGTCATCCTTCTTCTTCGTCTTCTTCCTTCTAGTATGTAGGCTTTAAAGCCTGTTTCTTCTTCCATATTAGCCTCCTAAATTGTTTAAATTCTTGCACCATCTTTTTCTTGGTCTGCCAATAGTTCTTCGTCCATTTGGTGACTTATCGTGCTATTCGTACTATTCTATCCTCTGCCATTCTACTGATATGTTCGTTCCACTCCTGTTTTTGTTTTGTCACCCATCCATGTATGTCTATTATATTGCATGCTCTTCTTATGTTTTCGCTTCTCTCCCTATACAACAGATTTCTCCCTGATATTCGTCGGAGTATTTTCATCTCTGTTGTTTCTTGCAGCCGTCTCGTTTTAGATGTGTCAGGTCTTGTCTCCACCGTGTATGTTAATATAGGTCTAATTGCTGCTTTATAGATTCTTATTTTTGCGTCTTGTCTTAGGTGTGTGTTCTTTCAGATTGTGTCCTTAAGAGAACCCGCCGCTTTACTTGCTTTTAAGCTTTGTTGTCGTACTTCTTCTCCAACATCTCCGTTACAAGTTATATCTATTCCCATATATCTAAACCATGCTTTATTATTTTCCCATCAATTTCGATTTTACACCGTAGTGGGTATTTACATGTTGTCATACATTTAGTTTTGTCTGCTGATATCATATTGTATTTCTTAGCTGTTGTATTGGAGATATATGTTAATCTTTGGAACTCGCCTTCTGTCTCGGCGATCAATGCGGCGTCGTCGTCTGCATAACATAATATTTGGATTTCTTTGTTCCCCATTCTGTAGCCATGACCTTTACGTACTGCTTGTATTATTTCGTCCATTATTATATTAAAGAGAAGTGAGCTCAACTAGTCACCCTGTCTGACTCCGCTTTGTACTGGTATACACTGTGTTAGTTTTCCATTTATCTTTGCCTGTATTCGATTTTGGAGGTAGATGTTTTCGATGGTTTGTATAATATTGATTGGTATGTTTCTTTTAAACAGTAGGTGTAAAAAGTCTTCGACTTAGATGCGATCGAAAGCCTTTGCCAGGTCTATAAAACATAGACATGCTGGTTTATTGTACTCGATGGCCTTTTCTGTGATTTGTCTTAGTACAAATACGGCGTCTACGCAGGATCTTCCAGATCTGAATCCTTGTTGTTCATCTGATAAAGTTGTTAGTTTATTGATTTTATTCCTTAGGACTTTTGTGGTAAGCTTAAGTGCGGTGTTCAGTAGATTTATACCTCTATAATTGTTGGGGTCTTCTTTATCTCCTTTCTTGAACATTGGTATCATTATGCTGTTTCTTCATGCTTCTGGTATCTTGCAGTGCAATATTAGTATTTGTAAAAGTTTTTTTCCATCTATAGGGTTCTACTTTCTCCTCAGTATTTTAGAAGCTCGTTGGTTATTCCGTCTGGTCCTGGTCCTTTCTATTTTTGGGCGAAGTTATGGCTATTTCTACTTCCTGAAAACTGATTTCTATTTCGTATCTTAATTCAGATACGTTGTTGTGTTGATTATTATTTTCCTTTGCTTTAAACAGTTCCGCCAGGTGTCTTTCCCATTCGTTTGCTGCAATGTTATTGTATTCCTTCAATTCTGCCATTTCTTTTCGTTGGTTTCTTATAAATCTCCATATTTGTTTTTGTGTACCGTAGAAGTCGCTTTCCATCCTTTTTGTAAACTGTTCCTAGTGTTCCCATACGTCATCCGATTCACCAAAAACAAAACTTTTTTAAAACTCAATATTGAGGTTAATGATTGTACACTAAATATTTTTAAATTTACACTTTTTAAATTGAAACAGGAGACATACTTTCGCAAAATAATTTTGAGTAGATTATTTTGCACTCAAGTGTAGATTTAGTATATAGAATAGGAATGTAGAATCGAAAATGCTATAAAAATTAATTTTACTGTAGATTACTTAAAAAATAACAAATTTGGTTGGTAAAAGTGTTTAGTTTATCTCCAGTAGGAGCAATACTTGGATTATATTAATATTAAACGGCTTGTTTTCTATCTATAATATAAATATTCTCTCCGATATAGGTATGTTTTATGTACTTCCTTATGGAAATTTTTATAAGTATACCTACTCCATGTCTATGTTGAGAATTTTTTGTGTAATTTCCTTAGTAGTAAAAACTATATTTATTATATTGCTTTGGCCGGTATTAGACAGACTCGTGGTGGTTATTTTAATTCTCTTCATTTCTTTGATTACGTTTGCAAGTTTTCCGCAGCAAATGGTGTTCGTACATTTCATGTGGCTATTTTATTTATTTACTTCACTGTGTCAAGCCGGTAATTCCTCGTATCTTCTGATGATTTAACATCTATCCGGGACAGAGGGCCATTTGTTTCGGTTTTCTTGTGATAGGGAAATTAAGGTGGACAACATGAATGTCCTGTGAAATTAACCATATATAGTCGTCCTTGTAGGATTCCGTTATTTTCAACGAGATGTGGGATTACATTTCCTTGATTCCCATTCTTATGATTATTTCACTGATACTCGGTCGCTATAGTCGCGTTTGTTACCTAATAAGGGGCATCATGTGAACACGATGTAGATATTAGAGTAAAGCAAGCTATTTAAGAGACTTTCTATACCCATGAAATCCCTATATATACCTATTATATAAACAATGTATCTCATCAATGTTGGAGAGATAAATAAAAATCATTACCACAGATTGTTACTATTTTTTTTTATCCACAGACATGACGTCAGTGAACTTGACAAAAGGCTGTAATATCGTACAGGCAAAAACATTGGCAAATGTTTTACCTCAAACACGCAAGCATTCCATTGTAAAAATTTCACCTATTTCGCCAGCCAATAAATCTCTACAGACTATAAAAGCGATACCACACCAAATAAACACAGGATCGGGGAAATTAATGGCTTTCAAACCTTTCAAAACGACAAGAAAAATTGCTACAATTGGTAAGTCAGTCAGTTTTAGGTTATCGATAAATGCCCAAATTACTGTATCCGGACTAATAAGATTGTTTAATTGTTAAAAGATATATACTTAAAAAGAAACTTTGGTTCATTTTCATTCATGGTTCATTTAGTGTTTATTTTTATTTTTTTTTGTGTATCTTTTAATTCTGTAATTATTTATCATACGTCTTACTTATTTTATTGTTGTTCTCTGGCTTCTTCTTCTTATTCTTTTGGCATCATAACCTTGGATGGGTCTTTGCCTGTCAGGCTATGTCCTTCCATTCAGATCTCTCCTGGGTCTTTCTCCTCCATTGTCTTATATTCATGGTTTTCAGATCGTCTTCCACGTCATCCTACCATCTCGTCCTGGGCCTTCCTTTTTTATGCGTTGGAATCTCAAATCGATGGAAGGAGGCCCATGTCATTATAATTCCAAAGCCAGACGAAGACAGTACATTTCCGCAAAATTACAGGCCAATAAGCTTACTCCCAGCAATCAGCAAGATTTTGGACAGAGTCATCCTCAGCAGACTACACAGTCTGCTGAGGATAGAACAAATAGGCTAGAAACCATCTCAGAGGCGCAGTTTGTATTTAAATCAGAGCACAATGGCGAGCTACAAGTACTCAAATTAACAGAGTACATAGCAGCTAGATTCAACGATAGACAGAGAGCGGTCCTGTCAAATCTACTGTACACAATATACACCGCTGACGTTCCAAGAATACCAGGAAGTCTACTAAGCCTTTATGCCGATAATACGGCGATAGTGAATAATCACCGAAATATATACATATCAGTAAACAACAGCGTAAGATGACATCAAAGAGTGGAGTTTTAATGAAAAATTACCCTAAACTCCGAAACGCAAACGATACTCTTTAAAAAGAACCATCAACAGCCAGAGCTGACATCAACTGACAGTGCAAAACAACCCCATCGAGAAGAAAAGCGAAACAAAATACCTAGGAGTCACCATGGACAAAGGACTAACTCTCAAAGGCACGTAGACGCCACAATTCAAAAAGCCAACATGGCAAATGCCTCAATAAGAACTCGCGGGTAGGAAAAATAAACTGAAGATCAAAACAAATATAAGGCTAATAAACAGTATCATTCTACCGATACTAACATTATGTATCTCTTGCATGGGGATACCTCTGTAACACCACAGCAGCAGCCTAAGAGAGGCAGTCAACGTACAGAACTTCGTCGCGGAACGATTTTTATTCAGAGAACTATAGCAAGTCAGGGTGACTGAAATAATGCAAGAAACAGCTAGGATAAAATTCGCCGTAATGGAGAATCCCTTAAATCCCACAATGCGAGAGATCATGAGATATTACGCTTTGCACATCGATGGAAGCACAAAAGATCTAAGCAGCAAATAGTGGAATAAAATAAAAATATATTTCGGAGGGAAAATAAACAAATTACTAGAGAAAAAATAAATAAACAAGAAACAAAGTGGATAGTTCGTAGCTCTAACAACGAGGATAACCGCAAACACTGTGCAAAGCCAAGGTATTAATATTTTTTAATACATTCTAATAAGATTCTTTTCTCTCAACAAAAAAACTTAACAAAACCAAAAAACCCGAGCACGTAGGGCTCAAATCCTTGAGCACTAAGTTTCTAAACCGATCCATTTAAAAAGAAAAGCTTTTAACCAGTGCGTTCTACCAGTCCTCACATACGGAGCAGAAACCTTAACTCTCACAAAAACATCAGCCGAAAAATTGAGAAGGACACAACGAAAGATGGATAGATCAATGCTTGAAATAAGCTTAAGAAATAGAGTAAGAAACGAGGAAGTTCGTAGACGAACCGGAGTGGAAGACATTATCGAACATATTACAATGCAAAAATGGAGATGGGCAGGACATGTTGCAAGAATGAAAAACGGCAGTTGGACAAAAAAATTGCTTGAGTGGAGACCACGGGCTGACAAGCGAAGCCGAGGACCCCCAACGCGATGGACCGACGACCTCAAAAGAATCGTGAACAATTGGATAGCAGAGGCGCAGAACAGAAGCAGATGGAAAAGTCTAGAGGAGGCCTCTGTTCAACAATAGACAACTCAGGGCTGATTGATGATGATAATGAAGTCTCTGAACTGAGCGCAAGTAAACAATTTCAGTTTCACGAACAAGTCACAAGAAGATAGGAGTAAAGCGACTAACGCTAGCGTGAATTTAAATCGGATACGGTACCATGTTGGAGTTCTATTACCCAGGACTCCCATATGAAGAGCATTTAGCTGATATACATCTCGCCCCAATGAATTGTTGCACCCGAACGTAATTCTAAGGGGTGAGCAAGGTTCACAGGCTGGTTTAATTAAATTACGTGCTTGCTTGCTTATTGTTTGTTATTTTTAGGTAATCAAGGTACTTCAAGAATTGCTCAACCCGATAAATATACAGCTAATTCATTTTCAAGGGTAATGGTAACATCTGGGACTGCTAATCTATTAAAAAGTACAGTAAGTATTATATTTTTTGTTACGGATTTATTTTGCTGCTAATAATTTTGTTGTTAATACATTTAAGCAAATAAAATAGTTTTATCTTTCAATAGATGAAGTATTTCGCTCTAATTATACTATTACACTTAGATTCGGATTTATAACCTGTATTTTAGAATATTATTTCCAAAGGTCCAAAAAACTTGTTTTCTTCCTACACCTCTACGGCCCTCTATTTTGCCTTTAAGAATCAGTTGTAATATTTGATATCGACTTTCACTTACTATATGTCCCAGATAAAACATTTTTAGATGTTTAACAGCCTTTAGCAGTTCTCTATCTTTGTTGACGCTCCTTAGTAGTTCTTCATTAGTTTTCCTTGCTGTCCAACGTATCTTCAGCATTCGTCTATGAACCCACATTTCCAATGCTTCAATTTTGTTCATGATCGATACTTTTAGCGTCCACACTTCTGCACTATACAAAAGTACGGACCAAACATAGCACTTAACCATTCTATGTCTTAGTTCTAAACTGAGATGGTTATTGCAAAGAACTGACTTCATTTTCATAAAAGTAGTTGTAGTCATTGGTATTCTACGTTTTATTTCTATGTCTGGATCTAGTTGGTCCATTATCACAGTTCCCAAATATGTCATTTTGTGAACTTTCTCACCTTGGACTCCGTTTAATTGAAGCTTTGCATCGGGATGTGGGTCACGACTAAACACTAAAAATTTTATTGTCCATTTCCTCGCCTACCTCGTGAATACGATAAAGCAGAATTTGAAGACCTTCAATATTATCCGATAGAATTACTGTATCGTCTGCATATCTAATCACATTAATTAGTTCCCCGTTGATTTTTATTCCATATGATTGTCTCTCAAGTGCCTTTTTAAATCACTGGTAAATCGGTATAGTTATCTCCAATTTTTATGATAGCAGTTTGATTCCAGTACAACTTTTTAACGACACGAATATTCTTGTCATCTATTCCGATATTTTTCAGTATATGTATTCTTTTACATGCTGTACTTTATCGAGTGACTTTTCGAATTTCACGAAACATGCAAATACATCTTTTCTTTAGTGACGGCATTTTTGTACTTGGATATTAAGCGCAAAAAGTGCCTCTCTGGTTCCCATACATTTCTAAAACCAAATTGGGTATTTTCAAGATCTTCTTTGCATTTGCGTCTAATTCTGTTGTGAAGTATTCTGAGAAAAATTTTAAGAGTGTGGCTCATTAGGCTAATTAATCGATATTCGGAGCATTTTCTCGCATTGTGTTTTTTAGGTATTGCGGCAAAGATGGATTTGAGCCAATCTGTGGGAATCACTCCGGTGATATATTGAATTAAAAAGTCTTACTACTACTTTTATGTTATCATTCTCTATTAGTTTCAGCAACTCGGTTGGTTTATCATCTGGATCACAAGCTTTTCTAATTTTAGCAATATTTATAGCGTGTTCTTCCCCGCATTTCATAATTTCTGGGCCGTCAGTACAGTTTTGGTAGAATTCGGCAATATTATTCCTGTCATCTTCAAACAACTCTGATATATACAGCTGCTATTCTTTTCTTATTTCGTGCTCATTTACAATAATTTTGTTATTATTGCCAACGAGTACAGAGGAAACTCGTTTTTTAAATATATTACTCATTTCTTTTAGTTTTTTGTGCACATTCAAAAAGTCGTGTTTAGATATTACATCCTCCATTTAGTCGCACCTTTCTCTCATCCATTTTTCTTTGTTTAATTTGATCTCATTTTTTATTCTTCTCTGCAGGTGTCTATATTCTGTTTCATTAGATTTTATCAGTTGACGTTGTTCCATTAATTTCAAGATGTCGTCTGTCATCCATTTATTTTTTGATAGGTTTTTTCTATAATCATTGTTTGTGGAGATTTCGTTAACTTCGTGTTAAATTCACTCCATAGTTCTTCTGGATATTCTAGTTGTTTTCCGATGGTTTTTATTATATTGTTAAATTCTTTATTAATGTTATATTTTATGTTTGTATCGTCAAAGTTGTTTATTGTTCTTTGGTTTTTGTCGCTGAATTCGTTTTAACCTTAGTTTTATCTGCTGCAAGTGGTTGACGATCAGATCCAATTTCGGAAACGTTCATTTACAAGTATATAGTCTATTTGATTTCTTGAAGACTCAGGGTTATTGCCATCATCAAATGGGGCTTTCCAAGTGTATAGTCGTCGCTTGGATAGTTTATACCAGGTGATTGCAATGATAATATCGTTTTTTACGAAATTCATACAATCTCTGTCCTCGATCGTTAGGTTGTCCTAAACCATAAGGACCTATAGTCTGATCTCGTCGACCTTCCACAATTTTTGCATTGAAATCGCCTATAATATATAAAATTTCGTGTTTATTAAGTTTCTGTAAGATGTCTTGGATCTGATCATACAACTTCTCGACTTTATCGTCAAATTTTTTTATGAATTATGCTAGTTTTACATGTTTGAGTATTTATTTGGAGTAATATTATTCTATCCAAGACTGTTACCAAATTGGTCACATATTTACTCAGTTCTGATGAGAATACACTTCCGTCCTTTTTACATGATCCTGACTCTGGCCATCTCATTTTGCTGATTCCCAGTAGGTCTATGTTCATTCTTTTCATTTCTTGAATTGCGTTGTCAAGTTTCCTATCGGCAAATAGACTTCGAATATTCCATGTGCACATTCTAAAATTAGATTTCTTTATTTTTAGGATTTCTTCACGAGGTTTCGCATGTTTACGACCTGAGAAGCCTCGTGATATAAATATGTTTCTACACCCTATATACACCCTATATTGAATGGTTTCTTCGATATACGGGATCTTATTATAGCCTATCGGAAGATGACTGCAGCATTTATAAGTTAAATAAAGATCCACAAGGAAAATGAAATTCTATTAGTTGGCCGGAATCATGAATCACAAAAGTTTTATTTAAAAATCCTTTATAAAAGGTATACCTATAATTAAAAAGACCCATTCATGCTAAATCGCAGAACGTTTTCGAACGAAACAGTCCAACATCAGTGTATTATACCAGGTATTCTTGAGTCAAGCCACTAAATATCTGGCTAGAAACCCTTAAAATGGTACATTATTTATTATGTGTTACATTCTTGTTGAAAAGATGGCGTGGTGTTAAAGTATTTAACATATACCCTGCATGGCAACCTAAGACGTTCAATAGGGATTGCTGCTGACCCTCAGACAATGCATGAATGGGTTCTAGTTAGCAACTGCCAAACGATTGTTAAATAAAACTTTTTTAACTAAATAAAGATGTTATACCACCAGTCTGGGAATTGCCTGACCTCGGATTACCCTAGAAGTAGATTCTGTTAATTTTATTTTTGTAGTTAGGCCCGGGATTTGTGGAGTGAAGTACCTATATATTTTGATTGATTTCTTCTTTTTCAACCGTCGTCTTTGTTTTAAAGGTTAGCACTCATCAAGGTTACGGTGTACTAAACCTATTGGTGTTATTTAACCATTTGTGCAGATTTTTTAACTGGAAATATGTTCTTCTTTCTCTTATATTATTTTTGTGCATTATAAGATGAAATATTTAATATTTGTCTCCTCTCATGTGTCCCAGGTAGGGCAGCTTCCTCTTTTCAGTCAGTCAGTAAGTTCAACTTTCTTCCTTTTTTTAGTATAAATACCTCGTCATTAGTGATTTTCTCTACGCATGAAATTCGTATAATATATAATATATGTTTTATATTCAAGCGTTTAGCATGAGTGCTTTGTGCTGATCTTTTTTGATGTCAATGCATCACTAAAGAAAATCAGACAATAAAGTTATAACCCAAAAATATGGACAAACCTACATATACCTAATAATGCAATGAAATTACGTGAAAGAACTGACACCATTTAACGTTAAATTGGTAAACATATGACAGGAAAAGACTATCTTATATGTAGTTTCTCTTTGTTCAAGATAAGCTACTTTCAGGTGTCATGTGTTTATCTGATTACTAATTGTATCAGATTGAAAACTGCCAGACTATCAGGATTCTATTGTAAGACTAATTACGATCTATAAAAGTAGGTAGTAGCAATAAACTCAAAATCCATTCTTCTTTTTCTATTTATTTGATTCTTACGTCGTCAGAGTACTCTTTTCTTGTTATAGATCCAAAAATATGATCCATCCCACTCTGTTGCACCCCCAATCCCAGCAACCACAACAGCGGTAGTCTCATCATTCATGACTTTATCAGGAACAATCGTTCCAGTTCAAACTCGATCTTATACTTCACCCTCAGATTTGATAACCAAAGAAGTTGAAGAGAGCTTAGATTCAAAAATAATACCTGAATGTGAAACAAAATCAGAAGATGACGCAAGACCGGAAAAAATAAAAAAAACTGAGGACAATGTAGAAGTTGATGCAGCAACAAACTTTACCGTGAAATTAGAAACTGAAGAAAGGTCAGATATGAAAGACAAATTGGAATCTGAAGTAAAATTTGACAGTAACGAGCAACCATATGATACAAGATCTCTAGAAGAAAATCAAACAAATTTAGGCGTAGATATAACTCCAAAACAAGGTGTGGAGAGTAAAAGAGAGTCGCATATAGGAGAGAACAGTTTTGATAATACAGGAGAAAGTGAAACATGTAAAAATATGGAATCAGTGGTTGATCCAAGTAATCTCAAAGATCATAATCAGAATATTAAAATTTTAAAACAAGATGATATAACTTCCGAATTTAGAAACGTATCAGTTACTGCTAATGATGATCCGTTAGCTACATTAGCTTCTGTTGCTTTGGATCATTATGAAGAGTTAAAACGGGCTGAAAAGAGTGCCCAGGAGCCTGTACATCCTCTTAAAGACATTTGGTATACTGTTCGCATCATTAGGGGTAATAGTTGTGATGTGCGGAATTATTTTTTGTTAAATGACGAGGACGCTGATCTGACCTTGGACACTTTGCCTTATACCGTACCTTATCCTTCAGGCTTTAGTCTTGAACCCGGTACTGCCTACAAGTTTAGAGTCGCTGCTATCAACTTCTTAGGTCGAAGTGATTGGAGTGAGGTAGGTGACAAATAAATGTTTTTACTTCTAATCAAGTTTTATTTTTAATAAATATTAAAAGTATTTTGCTCATCTCGGTAGCGTGTCCCGTAAAAACTCGAGTCGTAAGTTCATTAAGTTTGACAAGCGATTTTTTTTTATATTTTAAAAATCAGAAATTTTTATATTTATGTATCGATATCCGTAAGGGTACCGTCATAGTTCGGATTTTATAAGTAAGTCCGTGTAAAGATTGTGAATCCGACTTACTTCGCAATAAAATATTTGCGCAACACACACTACTAATGTGAAGAATTAAACAATAGAAATCTTCATTTTATGATGCCATATTTAATTTTTGGGTGTAGGTCTGTTCCTCTGCACTTATCTGTGTTAGAATTAAGTACATAAATACAAGAGACTTATAGTTGAACATATATTCCGAATCAAATGAGCGGAACTTTTCTACAGCTCAAATCGAGCTTTGACTCCCTCCAAATTATGCCTGCAACATTGCTGATCCCGCGCTACCCTTCTACTAGTTCTCTTCTTTTTAAATGTACCTAACTTCTAAAGATGTTGGCGATCACATTGACCCATCTTATTCTATTCACAGCAGCTCGAAATAGATCAGTTAACGTTAGACCAGTCCACTTCCTAAGATTGACCAGCCAGGATATACTTCTACGTCCAGGGCATTTCTTATCCTCAATCTTGCCTTGTAGAATCAAGTGTAGAAGTCGGTATTACGCATGATGTGGCCGAAGTAAGCCAATTTTCTGTTCTGTACAGTGTTAATAATTTCTTTGTCTTTTCTGAGCCTCTGGAGAATAGTTATGCTACTTGTATGGTGTATATATGAGATCCTCAACGTAAGTCGATAGCATCACATTTCAAATGCGTTTTATGACATCTTCTGTAACGCTCCAGCTCTGTTTTACTCCATAAAGGAGGACACTAAAGACGTAACATCTAAGAATTCTTATGCGTATATTGATACTTAAAGATAAGTTACAGACAATCTTTCTAAGACTGTTGAAAGAGCTTCTGGCTTTTTTAATACGAGTAGAGTAGCTGTAATTCCCAGTATCCTTAATATTGCAGTCCAAATAGCATTTTTTTCTACATGCAACCTTGTCTAACTCATTTTTTCGACTGTGAAGGTCTCTAAATGCCTTCTCGAAATCAATGAAATATGCATACACATCGCAGTTCACATCCCTGGCTCTCTGTATTAGAACTTGCAAACTAAAAAGTGGTTCCCTCGTTTCGAGTCCTGCTCTGAATCCAAATTGAACTTCACTCAGGTGTTCTTCTAATTTGGGGTATATATACGCGAGTGAATGATAGTAAGGAGTACTTTAAGTACATGGCTCATTAAACTAATTTATCTATGTTATTTACATTTTCTAGCTTGGGGTAGTACTCAAGTCTAGCAAATTTTGCGGGTCCTCTGCCACTTTATACTCCCACCTTTTCCATGGCCTTCCTTTTGGTCTTGCATCCTGCATTTTATTAACTTCTTTTCGGCAATCTGTTGGTCTCAATTCCCACTACAGGACCAGTCCATTTAAGTACCTGAAGGTTACCAGATTCTAATATTGGTACCTTTTTTTAACAGTTTATAGTGCTTGGATCTCAATACTTAATTTTCGTAAATAGGTCCAGATATTTTCCTTAGGATTTTTCTTACAAAGACTTCCAGCTTTATGCGGCAACATGCAGTTTAGATACACACTCTTCTTCACGATTGAAATTAATCGGGTTTTATATTTAATGTGTACTATGATATAATATTAGGTTCGGTTAGTTTCCACTAAGCATATGCCTTTCTTCGAATAAAATTCGATTATTGTATTGAGTGTTGTGTGACGTTACCTTTCCAAGTGTGTAATACTCCTTAAAATGAGCAGCCATTGATGTATTGAAGAGGACCTCGTCAATCGTGTAGACTAGAATTTGTACGTAATCTATACTACATCATGTCGTATGGCACTCTATACTACGGATGCCAAAAAACGATGGAAAAAGTACTTTGACAGTTTAGTAAATAATAAATTTGACAGTAAACTAATTAAGCTAATGAAGAAAGTAACAGCAATGGTTACCAAAATATCTATGGCTAGAGATGAGATTCAGGGTCAACAAAATGATAGACATCAATGGAAGTGTCTCATTTACATTTCTCCGTAAGTTTCTATCTTGGGCTATCTTCTTCAGCCTTTAGTAATACAACTTTGGACATAGGCCTCCCCCAAATCAATGCAGTGTTTTCTATTTTGCGCCACTTGTTTCCAGTTGTGTCCTCCGATCTTCTTAATGTCATCAGCACATCTCAATTGTGGTCTTCCTCCGCTTCTCTTTCCTAACCATGGTCTACATTGTTGTATTTCATGGTTCCATCAAATATCCTTCAGTCGGGCATTGTGTCCTGCGAAGCTTTATTTTAATTTGACAGCATGTTCTCCTGCGTCTTTTACTTTGGTTTTGCTTCTAATCCATTTGTTTATTTTTTTGTCTATAAGTCTCACCCCGAGCATTTATCTTTTCATTGCTCTTTGTGAATTTACTATTTTATCCATATTAGACTTGGTGAGTGTTCAAATATTATTCTATTTTAGTGCTTTTCAAGATCCAACTCAGTTTTACAAATCCTGCCCACGCTAATCTTATTCTTCTGATAATTTCGGCAGTTTGATTTTCTGTTGGGCTTTTATCTTGGACTATAGCAATATCAATCCCATTTACCGACACATCCTGCCTAAGCGCCTGCCTTGGGTATTATTTGGTCTTCCTCACATACTCCTTCCAAGAACTTACAAATCAGCAATTGTTCGTATTGGGTGATTAACGTCTCGACATTGAACATGCCCGAACCATCTTAATTTATGATTTCTCATTTCGGCATCAATTCGATAGTAATATAAATAAGCAACCCTTGTAAAAAATGGACTTTATTTGTATTAATACAATAAATACATGAATATTTGGAACGGCAAGGCGTCCGTCCCGCTTAAATTTGTGTTTCGCTAATCGCCGGCCTGTTTCCTTGAATTCTGCTTGTGACTTGCTACTTCGTGCGAGTAGTTTTTAGATGGCATATCGATATCGTTACCAGACACTGCTACGTTGCCGCATCAAAAAAATTGTATGAAGTTAACCCAAAAGATATTTTTTATAATATTGTTCCATTATATTTTATCTCCTCATTGTTTTGATATTCTATTTGATTAACTATCTGTCGTTTTCGTTTTATTTATATTCACCTCCATTTTTATTTTTAGTGTTTCTTCGGTCCACGAATTCACCAGCTTTTGCATTTTATTTCTATTGTTCGCTCCTGCTCCTCTATCCTTTATCCTTTGTAAGGATGTGATGACGTTATGGTATTTGACGAATAGTTGCTATCCATTCTTCTCTCTCCCGGGCGCGGTGTGCTGCCTCAGACAGAGATCCGGTAGGCAGGTAACCGGTAGGCACTTTATTTGGTCTGACCATCGGAGTGGCGATCTTCCTCGAGTTCTTTTACCATCTATCTTGCCTTCAACCACCAACCTCTCCATGCATTCTATTCGTTTGGTAATATGTCCAAAGTACCTCAATATATTTTGGTTGATGATTGTGGTAAGCCTAGTATTGATGTTGAGTTCTGTCAATATTGAGACATTTGTGCGATGTGCTGTCCGGGGTATGCGTATCATTCTACGAGATACCCACATTTCCATTAAGGCCATTATACGTTGTGAGTCAGACTTTCTAATGGTCCAAGTTTCATGATCTAGTCTGTTCATGATGTATTCAAGGTCATTTGTTGATGATGCTAATAATACTAAAGTGTCGTCAGAATAGCGGAGATTGCTGATTTTTCAGCCTCCGACTGATATTCCTCCTTGCCATCTATCGAATGCAATGCGCATGATGTGTTCGCTATATATATTTAATAACGTGGGAGAAATAATACATCCTTGACGAACATCGGCTTTTACTTTAAAATTATCGGAGTATAATATGTTGTTGACTTTTACGTTTGCTGTGTTGTTGATATACAGTTGTTTCAGTAGATATATTAGATGTTGGGGGGTACCCATTTCTATTTCTATTCTCTCATATGCCACTTTACATTATCGAATGCTTTCGAGTAGTCGACGAAGCACAAATATGTTTCTAGATTAATAATAGATAATATTGTTCGCTATCACTACAATATTATCTGCGTAGAGTAACTCTATAATTTTACTGGTTGCAAGTTGCTATATCATCATCACGTAGCGCTACAACCCTGGGTGGGTCTTGGCTGACTGTACAACTTTTTTCCAATTTGTTCGGTCTTCCATCAACCTAGGGTCAAATGGAATGTTCATTTTCCGGAGATCTGTTTGGATGTGATCCCTCCATCGCATTCTGGGACGTCCGAGTGGTCTTTTGCCTGTGGGAATCTCCTCCCACACCAGTTTTAAAAGTTAAGTTGCTATATCCAATTATTTTATTTATTATTTTATGTAGACTCTTTTCTTTAGCTTTGAGGTTCTTGATAATTCTGTTCATTAATATAACGGAAAAAATGGGTTTAAACTATCTCCCTGCTTTATTCCTTTGTTTATTTTGAATTCATCTTTGTATGAACACTTATACTTTTCCTCTGATTGTCTTGTATGCACTTTCTATGATTCTGATTAATATTTTAGGAATTTCTAGTTTTACCAGATATTTCCATATTTTTTCCTGTCAATCGAATCGAAAGCTGCGTTTAGGTCAATAAAGGTCAAGTACAGTTCTTGATATGAAGGTCTTGGTATATAATATCAAACTATTAAAGTATGAAGACACCGTTTGTTTTCTGTTATTATTGTAAAAAATAATATTTTACACCAAACAATACACTCTATATACTCTGATTTTTTTATTTAGGTATCAGAATATAAAACTTGTTTATCGGGAGTCCCAGGTGCTCCATCTACAATAAAAATAAGCAAATTAGTTGACGGCGCAAATCTCTCTTGGGAACCTCCTAGTGGAAACCAAGGAGAAATATTGGAATACTCGGTTTATTTGGCTGTGAGAGCAAAGGTATGTTGATTTTTTTTTTATTTTTTAAACAGGTTGTGAAGTAATATTTTTCTTTACAGTATAAGGTTAATACTAGTCCTGGTCAACTCGCCTTTATACGGGTTTACTGTGGCCCCGACAATAAGTGCATTATAAGTAATTCATCTTTGTCCGCTGCCTACATAGACAAAACGACTAAAACAGCAATAATACTTCGTATTGCTGCTAAGAATGAAAAAGGTTACGGACATGCCAAGGAGGTTAGGTGGTTGCAAGGTAAGATAATATTTTGGATGTAGACATGCTCATATGTTTTTTAATTATTTTTTTCCCGCGTTCTATTCAGAGATAGTCACATAACTTTTGTTGTGTGTTGTGTTACATGTGTCTAAAATTATTTCTATAAAAAAATACTTCTTTCTGTAGTTTATAAAATATGAATATAACAATTAGCCCTAGTTGTTAATGTAAAACGAGAACTTCTTTTACTTTCGTTAACCATTAACTTTTTATCAACATCAACATTAAGAAATTTTGACATAGGTTAATTCAAATCATCCGTTATTTGTGTAGTAAGTAATTAACCTTCCACTACACGCGGGCGGACTGACAGTCCACGTTTGATTAAAATATAGAATTTCTCGCATACCTTCCACTATTTTCTGTAGCCCCTTTGTAAGTCTTCATCCACTCGGCTGTTTTATGTTAGTCTAGTCTGAGAAGTTAGTACGTTAACTTGTTTCCAAATTTTAAGCAAATGCGGATTGAGAGTCCGCACGCGTGTACTGGTGTAACTGACACAGGTTTTATATTTATCGGAGTATTCAATTAACAAAAGGTAAGATCATATTGTTTCAACTTAGGTATATTATTCTAGTTAGTATATATCTTACATAATCTTACAATCGAAATCAATTATTTTTATAAACATATAATAATTGCAAATAACTAGAAGGTAACGCAATTCTTTTTCTAAGTTAATTTTTTCCAGATGGCTTCTTACGAATCAGAGCAGAATCTCGTTCAAAAGTTGAAGGAGGAAGCATTATTAGATAATGAGGAAGAAGAACCTTTCTAAGATAATGATGATCACCAAGAAGAAGATTATGTAGAAGAAAGAAGTGATAATTTAGAGAGCGAACAAGATATTTCGAATATTGAAGTGGAAGCATCTCCTGTCACAGAAGCATTTTTTATTGGTAAAAACAAATTTACTAAGTGGTAAAAAGACACACCATCAAATATTGTTAAAACCAGATTTGTAAATTTATTGAAACATTTACCTTGTTCGAAAACTTCAACTAATATATTGAAAGATCCACTTGAAATCTGAAAATATTTTTTAATACAGATATGTTAACAATTATTGTCGAATATACAAATCAGCATATTGCTTCAACTGCAGCCAATGATTCTTGTAAAAGAGATACATCACCTAATAAATCCCAATAAATATGGGACTCAAATTTTCGCCCTATAATGCCAAGTATTACTTTACTTCAAATCTTGCATTCTGCGTAGGGCATCAACCGATGGCCTTTATGCTGTGATCAGGTCCCTCAATGCGGTAGTCTTGAGATTATGTGAACACATATATGGATCAGGAAGGAATATTACTACTAAGTAGGAATTTATAACTCGTTGTACGCGAAAAAGCTGACGTTAGTTGGTACAATTCGTAAAAATAGAGTTACCACCTAGTTTGTCAACCCCCAAAGTCACGGTTAGTTAACAGTAATTTATTTGGCTTTCGACAAAATGCCACTCTTGTGTCCTACAAACCTAAGCAAAAAAGTCCTACTGTTATCCAGTCCTCATTATGATAATAAAATAGATAAAGTAACAGGTACGCCCTAAATCATAATGGATTATAACAATATTAAAGGGGGCATTGATATGGTGGACAAGCTCCCGATAATGTAACCAGCAGAAGATTTTTTTTTACAAAGTTTAGCTAGACAATTAGTTGATAATCATCTTCGTGCTCTTATTATTTTTTCTTGTTTACCATTATCAATGAAATTAAGAATTACAGAAATTGCGGAATTTGAAGATCCACTACCACCTCTAGCTGGTAATATTAGCCAACAAAGGGGACGCTGCAGTTATTACGACAGAAAAAAGAACCGTCCGACCAAGTATTGATGTGTTTTGTGGAAAATATTGCCAAATATTTGTAATGAATGTGTATAACATGAAAAATAATTAATAAATGTTTGTAATAGTAGTTTATTTTATCAGAATTTTTTAGTCCATCTCATACTTGCTATTTGAATATGCGGACTCACAGTCCGCCGCGTGTACTGATACAACTTTTTGAGGCGCGTATATTGAAAGGTTCATATACCCATTGTACAAAAAGTATCTCAATCTAAAAATTATCTATTAGATCCTCCCAATCCCTGTTCAATTGTAAGAGCAGAGTCTTATTAATATAATTTTATAAGATATTTTGATTGAGTTTACCGAACGTATAAGCTGAATATTGTGGCAAATGTCAACTATGAAATACATAAAATATTTTGGTTTGGCAGTGTTGGATGTTTTTGTAATGCATATATTGTATGCTACAAATATAAAGAGAGAAAGCTTTTAAAAAGTACTTTTTGATTGTACTATTTTATGAATTCTGCAATTTTTAATTTATATGAAACAATAACGAGTAAATATTTGTCTCTTTGTAGATTAATGACAAACTTCTGTTGAAATCTGGCAACTGTTGGTTTGACGATTGCCAAATCTATCCCCAATCTATCAAAGGGCAATTGCCAAAAAAATTTTCTAATAATTAACTGTTTTAACTGTTAATTTATTCTTGTTTTATATAAATCAAAAATTACTACATACCTACAGTATCTACATTATAAAAAACATAGCAACACTGCTAAACCAAAATTTTTTGTTCTATGTTTGACATTTGCGACTATTATTACTTTCGGTAAACTCAACCGATATTTTTTTTATATCATTTTAAGGAAATGTGGGGGAATTTTACGTAGCGGGTATACGCATTAGATTCAAGAGTCGATTCAAATATAACGGTCGTAGCTGGTTTCATGTGCGCACATCCAAGTGTCTAACAAAGCATATCAGTTGGCGGTCAGGGATATTGCTACACTTGCCACTTGCTTACGAATTTCAGTTGTTATTGAGACGTCAATGATAATATATAGATTGTAAAGTGTAGATATAAGAACCTAAGGTTGATTATTTAATTACATATGCCTAGAACATAATTATGTTCGAAAAGTACCTACTCGTGCCAATATTGCAGATGAGCTTTTTCAAAAATTTCTAGTGCTATTCGCTCAGGCAGAAAAATTAGAGAAGTTGGACGAAGTTTCAATATCTCCGAGCCAACTCTTCGTTACAAAATAAGAATGAAACAGAGATCAATGTCTAAACTTGATTGAAAGCCCATCTTTACAGAAAAACAGGAGAAAGAGTTAACTAAAGATATTTTGGAGCTAGCAAAAATGTTTTATGGTATTACTATTTGAGAGCTGAGTATATAAATATGCAGATACAAATGAAATCAGGCAAAATTTTTGTAGAGACTGAACTTGCTGGAAAAGACTGGGTAACTTTGTTCTTAAATAGAAACCAAGAAGTAAGTCTGAGAAAATCAGAAGGGATAAATATTAATCGAATAATCGTCGTTAATAAAATTGAAGTTAACAGATTTTATTCAAATATTATGTCAATATTAGGTAAATTTAAATTTCCTGCAGATCGAATGTATAACGTCGACGAGATTGGCGTAACGACGTTACAAACACCTTTAAGAATTTTGCACCCAATGGGACAGAAACAAGTAGTTTCTGCAATCTCATTGGAAAGAGTGATTCGAAGAGCGAATTTGTATAATGAGTGTGTCTGGAGGATACGTTTCACCGATGTTCATCTTCACCAGGAAGAAGATCAATGTTTTACTTCAAAATGATGGACCGATAGGTGCAGTAAATCGCTGCTCCGACAATGACTGGATAATAACGAGCCGTTTTAAGAGTGGTTAAATCACTTTAAATGTCATGTGCATTCTAATCCACAGTCTCCCTTTTTATTAATACTTGACAATCACACCAGTCATATTTCACTAGAGATATATACTTCATCTAATTGACATAACGATGCACGTCATTATCTACGTCAGAGATCGAAGTTGACATAGTTGTCAAAATATAAAAAAATCCTGACTCAATTTTAAATCAAATAGATTACATAATTATTGCAAAAGTATTACCATCTCTTTACAACAACTATTTAAATTCTTACGTGACATTTTTGAAATAAAACACACTAATTTTGTTCTAAAAAGAATAGATTTTATTAAATAGGTAAAAATATAAAACAAGAGGTATTCACTTTAAAATTCAAAATAATAAAGTACAAAAAAGTGTCAATACCGCAACTGTTAAATAAGTGTTACCAATTTATGCCAAAATTTCACCTTCGTTCAATTACATATACAGTGTGTTCCGAACAAATGTTCTTTATAAAAACGCTTTATAATGCATTTATACAAATTAAATAAAACATATTATTGTGTATTTCTTTAAGTTAACATTAATAGAAGTTTTTAAATATTATTTCTACGCGTATATAATAAAATATGTCTAGTGGCTGTAATGCCAGTGTACTCGGCAAAGTGATTCTAAAAAAGAACACACCTACCTCCTAAATATTTTGTGTTGGTATCATGTGACGTCACGGGCTATGACGCCGATGACGTGCATCGGTATGTAAATTAGATGAAGTGTATTCATTTTGTAAAGCTAATTCAATTCACCTCATATCCATACCTCCGCACACTTCCCATAGGCTGCAGACCATCGACGTTTCATTTTTTTTAGCTCTTTAAGGGAGCCTATAATAAATAATGTGAATTATATCGCAGAGCACATTCACAGCAGAGAATAACTAATTTTCAGTTAGCTGAGATTTTAACAGAGTTGATCTAAAAGTTTCTACAATAAAGAAAGGGATTGCGGATTGCTGGCTTTAGATCTGCTGGTATTTATCCTTTCGACCCAGATAAATTTAAAGATGAAGATTTTTGCCTGCTCAATAGTTTCTACTAGTACCACTAGAAAATGAAGTAAAAGAGCATAATTAGAAGTAGAAGAGTTAATGAAAATGGCAACATTACTCTAGAGGCAGTCCCATAGGTAAATTCTAAAATAGATCCAATTCCTGGAGCATCAAAGTCCAATGTTTCTGTTTCGTATTTATTACCACTACCAAAAGTTCACACAATTAAAAAAAAAACTAGGAAGTGTACAAAGAAACGATCTGAAATCCTGACATCCACACCGATGAATAATATTCTCGAAAAAGCTTCCTAAGCAGGAAATGGAAAAACGAGAATGAGATCATCATCATCACAGTCATTAACATCTTAGTAGATGTGTTGTGGTTCATAATTGGGCTTCAGCAGCTCGGACAGTTTGATTGATAATATTTCTCCACTGGTCGCGGTCATCAGTTATATGTATTGCCTCAGTATACTGTTTATTGAGAAGCTTTTTAGTAATGTCCGCCCATCGCTGTGGAGATCTTCCGCGTTGGCGTTGAGTCTGAGGCCTTCCTTGGACCACCAACCGCTCCATTTTGTGATCACTTCGATGGATATGGCCAAAGAACTTTAAAATTCTAGAGTAAACGGTACTGGAGAGACGTTGATCCGGTTTAATTTCATCCAAAACCGAGATATTTGTACGGCGAATGAGATAGCTACTACAAAAAGAAAAAATGTTTGGCAAAGAGGCCAAAAATCAACCCATGTTAAGAAGATTAAATTTCAAGAAAGTGAAACGGAGGAATCGGAATATGACGAGAAAGGCATTTGTGATGATAATAACTAGACGATGTGGATCCGACTAGCCAAGAGAACATATACCTGATTTGTGGAGAATTCGGGAAGGACAGAAAAATGTGGTATCAATGGGCATCCTGTTTGGGTTGGTCCTATGCCTCTTGCACTGCGAGAGAAAGATCGAAGAACTGTACATGTGACATATGTGTTGAATAAATACACTTGCGTGCATAGAAATCAGCCCACTGTAAACTTTTGACTTTAACTATATTTTTTTCAAGAAATATTCATCAGATCACAAAAACAAATATACTGTTTGAAAGACAATTTAATATGCTTTAATGTGAGTATAAATTTATCAAAAAGGCTTATCGTTTACATGCGTAGTAACCGGTAAACAAATGAAACGTGTTTATGTGGTGATTGTCACGAAAATAACAAATTGGTCTAATTGTAAAAGTATTGCCTTTGAAAGTGAAATTTGCATATTATTCGTTTTTCATAATCTCAGCAGTGTTCAAGTGGGTTAGTTTAATGCATACTACACCACAAAAAGCCGCCCAAGTTATTGCTCTAAACGAAAATGGACTTAGTCAGCGAGCTGTTGCTAGACAATTGGATATGACACGCGCAGTGGTTCGAAGAGTAAGCCAACGTTATGAGGAGACTGGATCCTTTCATAGGCGACCTGGAACAGGCAGACGGCGATTTACAACCGCTCGTGATGACCGTTTTATTGTGTCAACAACATTAAGAAATCGTCACCTTAATGCCGTTCAGGTGCAACGACAGCTCCCTGAGGTGCGAAGAGTGGCTGTTAGTGGACAGTGAGACGAAGACTGCGGGAAAATAACCTGACCCCTAAAACACCTGCGATTGGTCCAAAACTTACTCCAGCTCATCGGCAAGCACGCCTGCATTTTGCACAGGATCATCGGAATTAGACGTTGGAACAATGGGGATCTGTTCAGATGAGACCAAAATATGCCTCTATGGTAGCGACCGAAGAAGGAAAGTGTACCGGAGACCAGGAGAGAGATTTGCAGAATGCTGCTTTAAAAAGCGGAGTGCTTATGGGGGTGGTTCCTGCATGATCTGGGGTGCAATTTCTATAGGAGCACGAACAGATCTTGAGTTTATTCGTAGGGACGACCGTGTTCACGGAAGAAGAGGTTTAACGGCTGCCAGATATCGAGGAGATTTTAGCAATTCATGTGGTACCTTACGTCGACTACATTGGAGACGAATTTATCTTTATGCATGACAATGCAAGGGCACACACCGCAAGAATCGTGCAAGATTACATTGCAGAAGTCGGTTTTCAGGTTATAGACTGGCCAGCAAACAGTCCTGACCTAAATCCGATCGAACATTTATGGGATGAGCTAAAACGAAGAATTCGAGCTAGACTTCATACTCCAGACTCGATCCCAGAGCTTATTCTTGCAGCAGAAGAAGAGTGGCTTAACATCCCACAAGCAACAATAACAAACTTGATCAGATCTATGCCTAATCGTATGAGAGATGTTATTAGGGCAAGAGGAGGTCATACCCATTATTAAAAAATTAAGTGTTAAGTTTTAAATTGTCAATAACCCTATTTATGTTAATAATAAAAAAGCTTAATTTGCTTAATGAATTCATTTCACTATGTTAAACATAGGAAGCCGAAATTGTTGAAGTCGAAGTTTCCATAAATTTATACTCACAATAAAGCATATTAAATTGTCTTTCAAACAGTATATTTGTTTTTGTGATCTGATGAATATTTCTTGAAAAAAATATAGTTAAAGTCAAAAGTTTACAGTGGGCCGATTTCTAAAAGTTTTACAGTGAGCCTTAAAAGTTTAGTTTAAATTATAAAATGTTTTGTAATAAGAATCAAACTGTCTAATTTTTCAAATTTGCTTAAAATTTCCCGATACACTGAGTAAAATTACCCACATAGATGGGTAATTTTGTGCACCAACCAAAAAAAATTTATTGATAATTTCAGAATGTATATTTACCGTTTGACTCTATGTGACATATACTTCTAGGATTAACTTTTGTGAGTTAACTATATTAGTAATATAAATACGTAGAATCCCCCACCTTCCCTTCACTCAAGAGAAAGTTGGGTCTTAATCTTCTCCTAGATCTGCTGACGAATGTCTCTTGAGTCTTCTATTTTGTTGTCGTTCTGGTGACGTAGTAATACTCTTATGTGATAGGACGCTGTTTAAAATATGTCTTTATAGTAAATAAGTATGTATATTCAAAGCTACAGGTAGGAATTTGTGGGTAACCTTTCGTTCGATTCCAGGAGCATTCTGGCTCAGGAAACTTATTCAACAATTACTACAATTATTAAACAAGAATTACAAACTCTTTTAATTCTAATTAATTTCTGTTTTGCGTTTTCCTAATGTTGTCCCTAACTGTACGTTACATTTAATATTAATTTTAATATTAATGGTGTTCGGTGATGTTTCCATTGGTTTCTCTTTCGAATAGCGTTTAAAACGCACCCTTCCGTAGGTGCTGTATATCGTACCGCTAAAAATTGCGTATTTCTAACATAAATATAACAGAAAAAAAAACAAAAATATATATTTTTGATAGATTTTTATCTATTAAATAATTTCTTTCAGATCCATCGTCCAAATCAAAACGCCTTGCAGAATCCCAACCAGTAGCAATTAAGAAAGTAAAGAATGGTAAGGAAGGAATGTAAAAATACACAGTGTTTTGTGAATTTAGTGAATATATTATTTTAGATGTTAACTTCAATATTAAGTGTTCAAATGTATTAACAGTCGGAAAAACTCCTTGTTTTAGTTATAATAGTATATTAATAAAATCCATTTAGTTGACATTCAATTTTATGTATTAATTGTCTCTATTTTGTTGCTCCATTTTATCTCCCCTACTATTCTTAGGCTTTGTCTTCTAATATTGGCATCACGGCCAAATCGATCCCTGTAATTTGTACCTCCAATTATGGTGATGCTAGGCAGTTTACCTCTCTGTTCTGATGTCCGTTAAGTCGAGCGCGTTTTTTATTATCTCACACTCATTTATTCTGTGGTTCCCCTTTTGGTCTTCTATCCTGTATTTTACTAATTAGTGTTCTTCTTGATAATATTTTGTTATCTACTACGTGGCTAGTCCATCGAAGTCTGCCGAGTTAAGTAACTTCTGAGATACACTTTGTCAAAACTAGGAATGACTTGAAAATTCTACAATGGGCACGCCCACTGAATGCGCAGCAAAATTGCAGAAAATTATCTTAGAAAAGTCATCTGGACCTTTTAAAAATCAGGTAGTCGAGAACCAGCGTTCATCTATCTCTTTCTCTCTCGAATAATTTCTCTATCTGCCCTCTACCGTGATGGAGAGAACATTTCAAAAGTCATTCCTAGTCTTTGTTTTTGCATGTTTTTGTATGCCTGCTGAGTCAGGCATGAACAAATAATGGAAGTGCTGAAGAGGACAAATATTGACGAAAGAGACCTAAAAATAATAGCTAACCTGTATTGGAATCAACGAGCGGTCACCGAATATATGAAGAATATACAGATCAGGTCACACTCTTGAGCGGAGTGAGGCAGGGTGCATAATTTTACCACTGATATTCGATCTGTACTCGGAGCACCTGTTTGGAAGGGGCTCTAAAAGATATTGATGAAATCATCTTAATAAATGGAGTCAAGCTTAATAACCTGCGGTATGCAGATGATACAATAGTGTTTTCCAATACCATAGAAGGGCTGCAAAACTTAATGAACAAAATAACGGAAACAAGTAGAACATATGGACTGGAGGAAACAACAGCAAAACCAAGCTAATGATCATCAGCAAGGAAGACATAACTGGAACAAATCTGTATGTGAAATTGTGAACCAAATGAGAATTTAACGTGTCTCATAGTATAAATACTTGGGAACTATAATCAATGAGTCGTGGGACAATACCCAAAAGATTAAATGTCGCATCGCAAAGGCAAAAAGTGAATTCTTGACTATGAGCTCTGTGATCAAGAGCCATTACCTCACCCTAGAAACAAAAATAGGGCTCCTTAAATGTTACGTATACTCCATGTTTCTGTACGGAGTAGAAACATGGACATTGAAGGCGGAAACTCAGAACTTCAGGCTTTTGAGCTATGGTTATACAGAAGGATTCTGAGGATACCGATAGACAGTCACCAATGAAGATATACTAAGGAGGATGAACACAACCGCGGATTTGTTCAACATCATGAAGGGCCGTACTTGGGACATATAATGAGAAATCAAGGCAGATATGAGCTACTCCACTGCATTTTGCAAGGTAAAGTTGGAGGAAAAAGGGCCTCAGAATGAAGAATATCCTTGCTTGCTAACCTGAGAGTATGGTATAGAAAGACCTCAACACAGCTATTCCGTATAGAAACCAACAATCATAGCCAGAATGGTCGCCAACGTTCAGAACGGACAGGCACCCTAAGAAAAAGAATTCCTAGTCTTTACGAGTAATAGGTGACTCTTTGAACAAGGACTCCTTTAGAATTTTTCTTTAAAAAACTGTTTGCCTAAATATGTGTATTCAGTTAAGCATACAGTATACAGTGGTTGATAATTGTATAGCCAATGTTTTCAGCTTAGTAGATGTTGGAGCTAAGGATCACAACGATTTTTTGTAAACGATGTAAAACTATTGGTGATACAACAATTACATAGGTCTATTGAAAATAAAAGTCTAATTTTAGCAAAAACTTTGATTAGCTAAAAAAACAGTTTCAAAAATAAAATATAAAAGGTTAGTTACATTTGGAAAACAACGAAAAGCTTATTTCTTATGGATCTCTTAAAAGCAAAGTGAATAAAGAATAAAAAAAATGTAATCTTATCCAATGCTCTTTTCGGACTGTCTGACTCAATACATAAAACGCTTTCTTAAGACATTAACATACCGAGTGTACAACACCGAAACTGAAATTAAAGGCGGGTTTTGAGGAAGCTACTTTGATCGTGTCACCTATCATCCAAGTACACTTGTATCAACAGGTTCTATTCAAATTAAGTATGACGCTGGCCAACTTCCTTGGATCCAAGTAGTGTGATATTGTAAAACTAAAATGCCGTCGGTGTCGAACAATCGAAAACGAGATGGAAACAAAAAGAAAATGGTCTGAAAGGTTTGTTAGATTTATGGAGTTATAAAAAGCTGATGATTCATTATGGAATGTACGGATAAAGGAATATAAAAATGAGAATGCTAGAAGTGCGGCATTTTTTCTTTTTTATTCTATATTTCAAGCTCATGTAGGAACATATTAGCAACCACTAGAACACCTTCCACAATACTTCCGCTATCTTTACAATGGTTATTTGACATCCAAGTCATTTAACCGTGGCAACCAACTTGGTACAAGTATACTTGTTACAAGTCCAATTGGCCCAAGTTGGAATCCAAGCATTTTTGGATCTTGTCAACCCGCCGTTATGATTATTAGAGATGACTTTAACAATTGTAGCAATCAACTGCACTCCCAAAAATTGTATGACAAAAGTAAACATGATGAGCATAAAAATAACATTGACAGTGCATTGTAATATTATTTTTGTATGAAAAAAGTGAAGAGTGTCAATTCCTTATAAGGAATTCAATAAAAGCGGTTAAAGAAAATTTACATAATAGTACAATCATATAACGATTAAAGGCAAAGTATAAAGATGAATTTTTATTTTTTAATGAAGCTAGTCAATATTGCATTGTCTTTTTCAAAGGTTTTATACATAAAGTAATATCCAGAATATCATAGGTATGAAAAAAAGCTAAAAGATATAAAAAATGTTTTATATTCACTAGAAAAATGATCTAACTGAATTGCGAGCATTCCTAATTCTTTTGCACACATCCATTTTCCAAAGTAATCATGAAGACATTATCAGTATTTTTGCAAGGGATGGTACCGTTCGGCAGATATTTAGAGCATTTTTTTCTGAAAAAAGGTTCTTAGTATTGGTAGTTGCTATATAATATTTAATAATTCGGCGAGCAGAGAAGAAAGCAAAGAGATTCTACTAATGCAGTCATCTTCTTCTTAGAGTGCCGTCTCCCTACGGAGGTTGGCAATCATAATGGCTATTTTTATTTTAGAACTTGCTGCTCTAAACAAATCAATCGATCTGCATTGGTACCAATCACGTAGATTCTTTAACCATGAGTTCTGCCTTCGGCCAACAGATCTTCTTCCTTGAATCTTTCCCTGTATTATCAGTCTCAAAATTTCATATTTTGGTCCCCTCATCACGTGGCCTAGGTATTCCAGTTTTCTGGTTTGTATAGTGGTGATTAGTTCTGTTTCTTTACCAACCCTCTCCAGTACTTCTTTATGCAGTCATACATGAATTTAATAACTTATTTGTACAAAAGTTTACATCGTTGGTACTTCTGCATGTGTATATGTGTTGTAGATGAAATGCTAGTTTATTCCAGGTAGGTGCGTTTATCACACATCATAAATATGGCATGTTTATATATAAAATATCTAAATTTTAATTAAGTTGTTTTTTCTTAATATATTATTTTCTTTTCTCACATTTTTTCTATTTAGAGGGAAGATTTATTTGTTGTGTAGAAATTTCAATAAACAAATGTATAAAAGAAAGGTATTTGTCTCAATATTTAATAGAAAAAAAATTGATTTTGTAGGTATATAAAATTTACCCTAATATAGATAAGGAGTCGGAGAGACTTCTCCTCATCGCTTATGTTAGAAAATTTGGTGTCACCAGCTAAGGGTTAATAATATGTGTTTATTTATATTATATGTTCATTTCCGTACTTACATATTTTAAGCCTTGGTTTCAAGTATCTTCTTTATTATTCAGGTTTTTTAACGACTTCATTTTCCAATATACTGTTTTTTAAGTTTGCGTGTTTCCTTTTTTGCAAGTATTTATCATGCCACCTAAGAACTTTATCATTTCGTTCCCTATATTGGAGATTAGACGTAGAGATACCACCCTTACCCTGTTAAAACTGTTAAAACCTATTGTTACAAATTCCTATATGTATTCTGTTAAAAATCTTTATATTTTTAGAAAAACCTTTATTTCTTATAGTGTTCTTTACAGCAATGTTAAAATAAATAAAGCTATAATTACAATATATACATTTAACCTATTAACATAATATGTATGTTAATATTAAACAAACGGAAATGGTTAATTCAGTCAAAGTTGCAGCACTGGCTTTGGATCTGAAGAAAAGGCTATTCCTTTTTTTACCTAAAATATAATTGTGTTAATAAATATCGTAAAAGCAAACAAGTAATAATAAATAATAAATTTTTAAAATGTTACCCCTTCCAATGTTTTCAACATATTAAGCAACTACAAGATGTAACTAGGATGAGATGCTTCAACTATTTGTTAAGCCAATGCATTAGAAAAATTTGGAGTTATTTTTGTATCGTTTATATGAAACCATGGACGTATAAATATTAATAAAATAAAAGCCAGGTATATAAACAAAAATAAAATGGTTCCGATTATTTTGTGAAATAATTAAAGAGGAGAAAAACTAAAATTTTATAATTCGGTAAATAATTTGCTGATTTTGATTTAATTCATGTTTTTCACTTTTTTTTTATTATTTATTAGACGCATGAACGGCCAGGCAAGTCAGTAATCTTACACTTTTTGCCAAGAAACGCATAAACGCCAATACTCCACAAGGCGGGATGGAACTAGAGAGAAATGTATTAAAAGTGCTGTATTTTATCATGAAACTACATTGTTTAGCTTTGGACTATAGAAAATGTCATACCGAGAATGCAGTACGGCTAATATAGGAATGCACAATTGCCAGATTTCACGCCTTGTGCTTGGCGATACAAACAGGTCCAAGTGGTAGTCGCAGAACCGTACCCAGATCTCTACGCCGGGCTCTGTTATTTATTATAAAATAATATATTGATAAAATAATTGCCTTCAAGTAGCCAAATAAGAGGCATGAATTTGAATAAAAAGACCTTTTAAGCGAGAAGTTTTTAGCGAGAATTTTATTATAAAACTGTATACTTTTTGAAACAACAAATGTATTTTAAATTACATTTCTTGATAGCTATAAATATACCGGGTGGAACCTCCTGTAACTCGATTTCCGTGCAACCAGCCCAATGTCCAAGAAAAACTTTTTCTTTATATCCCGTTTCTGATAAAAAATTATCAGGAACGGGAATATCGAAAAAGCTTTGCGCATTTTTTAATCCCGGCGATGTTATTAAAAAAACAAGTTGCGCACTTGAATCACTGCGAAATTTTAACACCTACTATGAAAATTTTTTTGTGGAAATCTGAAGTGCAGTTTTTGTCCTTGTTAAAACATAATGCAGTCTCGCATTTTTTACATACAACATAAGTTTACCTAGTTCCTTGGCATAGCAACCTGGTAGTTTTCAGCGAAACCTTGTGTTATTCCATATGGGATAATGGTTTTCCTTGCCCACACTTGACCAGATGAGCAGGTATGAGGTTTATAGTGTAAGTTATTTAACAATATATTATATTTAGACTATTAAACTAACTAATATATTTTAAATTACATTTCTTGATAGCTATAAATATACAGGGTGGAACCTCCGGGAACTCGATTTTCGTCCACCCAGCCCAATATCCGAAAAGCCCATACTCTGATAGGACTTGTAAATGCATTTTATTGGTTATAGAGTGTAAAATAATCGAGGTTACTCACAGATATTCAATTAATTATACTAAAGTCGTCTTCTACATCCGAGATGTCGGATTCGCTTTCGCTACTCTCCCCTGTGTTCGCGTGTATTATCAATTGGTCTACGTCATCTTGCAGGTTGTCCGCAGTCCACATCTTAGTTTCCGTTTTCTCAACAACATGAGTGACATAATTGCGCCAATTTTGCTCTGTGACGCGTGCGAAACCGTCGTCGATCAACTGGCGTACCTCGTCGTTTTTAAAAGTGGTTTTATGGGTACCTACATATCGCTTAACTTGGTTCCACATTATTTCTATAGGATTAAATTCGCAGTGATATGTAGGAAGCCTTAAAATATAAACATTATGTTGTGAAGCATACTCATCAAGATGATACATATCGTATTGATCTTTAAAAGCACGCGCTGCTTCTAATAGCTCTCTTTACGGGAGTGGTACGATGCATTGTCCATTACAATGACATTACTGCGACCATTATTTGGTAAATTTGATATTAATGTCTCCTTAAACCACGACTCAAAATATGCGGCATCCATTTCATCGTGATAGTCGCCATCATTTTTCTTTGCCAGAAAAACACGCTGTGTGCCAGGAAGGAAACCTCCTGAAAAACCTGCATGCAATAAAACATATCGTGGACCTCGTTTAGTAGGTGCTTTTAAGACAGTACTTAAACCTTTGAGAAAAGCATCAAGAGTGTTTTGTATCGTAGTATCGCACCATTCGTATTTTATAGATTGGCCAACATTAACCCACAATTCGTCCAAATATATGATATTGCAATGGTCTTTTTGCAAACGTCGTATAGTTCTCAAATAATTATGGCGCCAATGAATAATATCCTCTCGCTCCACCATTATGCTTCTTCGGCCACATTTCTTATAAACAAATCCAATATCTTTCAGAAGTCTTTATAAAGTAGAAAGAGACAACGGCTGTATATTCTCATTACCTTGTATGAAGTTATGTATATGCTTTAAGAATGGCGGCAAATTTTTCATGAAAAATTCACAATGAACAATTCTCCGTAGAATACTTCTTACACCCTCGTCATATGTGAATATTCTAGAATATGATTGACACACTCGTTTTTTACGTTTTTTTGGCGATTTCAACGTTCCACTATGTTCTTTTTCTTTTTTGAAATTGTAAATGCTTCTTTCGCTAACAGCAGTCATCAACGAAGTACGTCTTACAGCAGCACTTACATTAAGTTGTTTCGTATTATACACTACATAAACACTACGTATACTAACGTACACTACGTAAACTACTAACGTATATAAACACTACGAGTTTAGCGCAACCGTTAAATAATTCACCGGATTTAAACTTATGGGACTCCATGCTCTCTGTTGAAACTAGGACTAAATGTTGAAGTGTAGTTTCGTTTTCCAAAAGCACTTTCACCCCCTACCCATCCTTAGGATGGGTAAAGGGTGAAATAGGGAAAGCTTGGAGTTTATCAAATACTAATTATGACAAACAAATTAATGGCCATATTTAGGTGATTATGTTAATGATGGTAATTTGTAGCAGAAGTTTTACAAAAGAAATGAAGACCTATTTATAGAAACAACATAACTGTATTTTTAATATTCTACATAGAATAGAAAAAATCTAATTTCTATGAAAGAATTGTAAATTTGAATATTATATATAATATCTATAAATAATATCATTTCCAAGTTTCCAAATTCTTCCCTAGAAATTATGTAGGTTTTTTCTATTTTATGTAAAACATTAAAACTACAGTTATTGTATGTTGTTCTTGTAAAAAGGTGTTCAAATGTTACTCTTATGAATATGATTCAATTGTATATCTCATGTTGACGTTTTATATGCAAAATTCATAGTTTTCGTTGTCAATAACTCATCAATGCCTTTTTATTCTACTTTATACGTATACATGATATAAAATATTTTACTCGTACTGCCGGCAGATGCATTTTATCCAAGCCGGTCCTGTGAGACAATGAGCAATCAACAGCTGGAGAAAACCGACAACCCTGCGCGTTTATTCTCCATAAGAAAAGCATTGCCGTATCTTACCCGTACTGCACTCTCAGTGTGACATTTTCTATAGATAAATAGGACTTTAGCTAGCTCTTTTTTAGTAGATCTCTTTATCACCATATACAAGCCACAACCAACTATATGTTGGAACATGCAGTTATTTTGTGAATAAAATGCCAATTTACCGAAATTATTTTATTTTTTTTTAATTGGAAATATGAAATTAACATTTTTATGATTTATGGAAGTATTTTTACGTTTTAATTGTATATTTTATGTCGATTACTATTTAATTAATTGTTTGATGACGAAAAATACTTACAACTAATATTGGAACAAAAGGTTTTTAAAAAATTAAAATTATTAAGGCTTAACGTCGCCTTTAGATTGAATAACAGCCTGAACTATATTAGACATTGTATCAACTAGACCTTCACAGGATTCAGGGGTGACACGATCCCATATTTCTTGCCATTTAGGATGTAGTGGCAAAGGACGCTAAGGGTTTTTTCGTAGGCATTGTTTCAATTTGTGCCAAAGTCTCTTTATTGGATTAAGATTCAGGCTGCTAGAAGCATGTAACAAAACTTTAATGTCTTGTTCTCCCAACTATTTTTTGGTAGATTATTTCATATAGCAAAAGGCTCTGTCATGTCGAAAGAAAAAATATTCGGATGGATATAACTTTGCCGCACTTAAGTAACAACGAATGTTAAAGGATATCCTGATATTTGTCTGCGTTTACTGTGCCTTCAATAAAATGTAAAGTTCCCAACACTTTGGTCGACATACAACCTTACACCATGATGTTCCGTGGAAACTTTACAGTCCTTTTGAGACAATCCTTATAGACTGCTTCTGTTTTTCCCGAATCATACGCTTTCGGTAATCTCTCACACAATCAAATTTGCTTTCGACGCTAGGGATTTTATCCCAGTTATGTTTGGACAACAAAAGTTTTGATTTAGCCCAAATGTAATGATTTCCTTTTTGAGTTTACGTCAACAATGGTTTTTCTTTGGTCTACTCAAATAAATCAAAAAATTTATATTGCAAAGAAGAAACTATCAAACATACCTTATAAAAATTAAGATCGCTTTTGTGGATGTATTTGCGACAACATTCTCTAGAAACATTCATCCCAGTTTCTCTATTCCACCTAGCAGTTACTTCTCATAGTTTATTTTCCGTTCCATTGTCTTAGATTTCTCAGTCAAGATGTTATTCTTCTACCAGGACCACGTTTACCTTAGATTTTTCCCTGAATAATCAGATGTAAAAGTTAATATCTTCAGGGTGTCCCATAATATGACCGAAGTATTCGAGCTTGTATTTCTTTATTATATTGACCAGTTGTCTTGTTTAGTTCAGGGGGCTAAGGACCTCCTTTCATTTATAACTCTAATTAACTTCCCAACTTGCATACTGTAATTGTTATGTTGTGTTAAGTTGTAAATCTACCTTAATATTTGGAAACCTACCTTAACATTAGTGACGTGTCAAATAGAAGAAGTTCAGGAGTGAAAGAGAAGGACAGACATTGACAGTCGACAGACTGGTCTTATGGCTCTTTAGAGATAGTTATGTATTAGTATTAGTTTGTCTTATCATAAAATATATAGAAATGAGTCGTCTATTATAACAAAAACCCACAGAGTAGAACAAACAGTAATTAAATGACTTACACTCCTTTGAGAAACAGCATTTGGACGACCTGCGCTTTAGCCGCGAACATCAATACTGGCAATTTTACCATATTACTTAATTATATTAAACACAGTAGTTGTTGCTACATTAATTGGCTGGGAATTTCACGAATTGTTTTTCCTTTATGGTACTGATGAATAACACTTTATTTCTTTTTTGGATCAGTAGGTTTTCCGTGTGCCAATATTGTATTTTACTTGTAATAAAACTAAGGTTGTTAATTATTCATACTCAAATGACAGCCTGATAAAACTTGGGGACACGTGGGGAAAAGCAGAAAATGTGCCGCCAGTATTTATTTGTCAGCAGTTTTCGATTATCAATCAATTAATTTTTAAAAGTGAAACTGGAACAAACCATGAAGTGGAGATATCCAGGAGTGGCTAGTATACCTGTTGAATACAAAGCACGTGGTGTTCGTGTGTATTAAGGTATAAAAAAAGCGCTTATTAAAAGCTTAAAATTTTTTTATTATAAAGAAGATCTTTTCGGAATTGTATCATTCCATCATCAGTTTACTAAAAGAGAGAGTAAAAATACCAATATTAAAAACAACAAAATTAAAATTTGAATATACAAAAAAAAAGTTGGTTTTTTACTACTTACATAAAAAGTTGTTAAAAAAACATTGTGTGGCCACATAAAAAACATTCGATGGACATCTGGATTTAAAAAATAATCTTCATGTTATTTATTCAGGTAAATGTCTATTGCATTTACCTGAATAAATAACATGAAGATTAATTTTTAAATCCAGATGTCCATCGAATGTTTTTTATGTGGCCACACAATGTTTTTTTAACAACTTTTTATGTAAGTAGTAAAAAACCAACTTTTTCTTTTTGTATATTCAAATTTTAACTTTGTTGTTTTTAATATTGGTATTTTTACTCTCTCTTTTAGTAAACTAATGATGAAATGATACAATTCCGAAAAGATCTTCTTTATAATAAAAAAATTTTAAGCTTTTAATAAGCGCTTTTTTTATACCTTAATACACACGAACACCACGTGCTTTGTAATCAATTAATTAAATAGTAAATAATATAAAATATATAATTAAGCCCTAAAAATAATTCAATACAAAATATATAAATACAAAATATGAAGAAAAATAATATGATTCAAAGATGTATTTTGACCATGGACGTATAAACACAGATGGACTCAGTTATTTACATAAAATTGTGAAGTCAAAATTATTTGAATAGGTCACATTCTCAGCACCTTCAACTGTTGTCACGTTTTGTTTTAAAATTTCTTATTCGCGAGTCGCTGAAAATATTACTCCGTATTTTATACTCTACAGGTGCTATCAAACCAAAATAATAATTTATTGGTTAGATTAATATATTTAATTGTAATCAAAATATAAAGTGTGCACATAGTGTGCATTATCATTTAATAATAACGTATAATTTAGATATCAATCAATTATTTTATATGTAGAAGCACTGAAAACTATTTATAAATGGCAACATTTCTCTGTCTTATGGATCTACGTCAAACTTCAAATGCTGTTCCATGTTTGTTTACTTTTTAGTAAAAGTTGTTTTTCTATATTTTGGCTGTATTTTGAGTGATATTTGTGAAAAGTTAAATAAAATAAACGAAATCCCGATCTCTCATTTCATTTGTAAGTACATACAATTTACATTATTTAAGATGAGGAAATGAGGAAGCGTGTTTGTTTACATTTTGATAGGCGTACCATTGGGTTTATTCATGTTCATTAATGTATTGAATAAGATATAAGTTCATGAAATTAGTAGACATTTTTAAATTGTAAGTAGACGTCATCTGATTAAAAAAGATCTGTTTAGTACCTTATTAAAACGTGTTTTTATACATTATTACTACTTCCAATTTTTAAAATCTGAATAATTACCCGCGAGTAATAATTCAAGCACGCTTATGCTCATTGCGGAAGCATCACATTCTATGGAAGCTTCAAAACATTGTGTGTTAAAGGTATCTTATTGCTGTGTCCATCTATGTTTATACGTCCATGATTTTGACAAAGGGGTCTGGGATCCGGTGAAGCACTATATGGATCTTTTAATCGAGTTAAGTACGAAAAACTTATTCTTATAATATTTATAAGTATTCTTAAAAGAAAAATCATAAATGGCAGTAGGCATCTATAAATTATATCACATCATAAAAACAAGACCAAAATCAAAGGAGAACTGACAGAGGAAATACCATAATTACAGGAGTAGAAAGCGCAGTGGCATACCTAAAAACTATATAACGACGTTCAATTTAACTCTACCAATCGTAAGTCATCATTCTCGTTTGTAAACTTTGCGTTGAGAACTGAACACCTTCCAAATGTCTTGTTACGATTCCGCGAATAAAAAGTCCTCATGAAAATCGAAATTTTCCTCGTTAAAAATAATAAAGCCTGTATGTGAGCTGGCTTTTTGTGCCAGCACTGGTTTGCAGTAATTCAGGTAAAAAAATCGGTTCTTCGCGAATGTGCAATTTTCTAAAGCGTTCTACCCCAAAAATTAGTTCAAGATGTAATCCTCAAATATAGTTAATGAATACAGACCTTTAATAAAAAAAACTTACTTTTTTCATTTGGATCTTTTGTACCACATAATTTGTATGCGATTTTAACCTTCCTTTTTTCATTTATATATCCTGGAATGTATAAACTCGGCGCATCTAACCTTCCGTGTAGAAGCAATTTGTTAAAATCTTGCTCTAACCGGGTAGCGATTGGCCCCTTAAAATGTAAAAGAAGCTGTACGCAGCCATCGTTATGTAACGATCTGGTTTTTCTACTATCAACCGTCAAGAACCACTCAGGGATCCCCATCACTTCTCTAATATCTTCAATAAATTGAGCCCTATAAAGGAAAGAAATTTATAGATTTAAACAAATATGTTAAATTTAGTATTTAATTCGTGATTGAAAAATATTACAGATAATAAAAATGATTATTTCTATATTCTACCGATTAGGAAAGGGTATTTGACAGGGTAAAATACAATGATATAGTAGAATCAATTATGATTTATGAGGTAGAATACAAAAACTGTGAACTTAGTATATCTGTTAACATCATCAATAACTAACAAATGCTATAACAATAAGGCGGAAAGTTCGAAACCATGGACGTATAAACACAGATGGATTCAGTTATTTACATAAAATTGTGTAGTCAAAATTATTTGAATAGGTCACATTCTGAGCACCTTCAACTATTGTCACATTTTGTTTTAAAATTTATTATTCGGGAGTCGCTGAAAATATTACTCCGTATTTTATACTCTACAGGTGCTATCAAACCAAAATAATAATTTATTGGTTAGATTAATATATTTAATTGTAATCAAAATATAAAGTGTGCACATAGTGTGCATTATCATTTAATAATAGCGTGTAATAGATATCAATCAATTATTTTATATGTAGAAGCACTGAAAACTATTTATAAATGGCAATGGTTGTTTACATTTTTCTCTGTCTTATGGATCTACGTTAAACTTCAAATGCGGTTCCATGTTTGTTTACTTTTTACAGTAGATGAGGAAAAGTTGTTTTTCGATATTTTGGCTGTATTTTGAGTGATATTTGTGAAAAGTCAAATAAAATAAACGAAATATTTACATCCCGATCTCTCATTTCATTTGTAAGTACATACAATTTACATTATTTAAGATGAGGAAATGAGGAAGCGTGTTTGTTTACATTTTAATAGGCGTACCATTGGGTTTACTCATGTTCATTAATGTATTGAATAAGTTCATAAAATTAGTAGACATTTTTAAATTGTAAGTATCATCTGATTAAAAAATATCTGTTTATTACCTTTTTAATTTAATATTTCTCATGGATGCAAATAAATTAGTGTATTACTAATCACTCATTTATTTTCTATGTAGGTTTCCAAATAATATTGACGATCGAACTATTTTGGTAGCAAATTTAGGAGAAAACATAAAGAGTTTTTATTGTAGCATTATTTTGATACCTATTAAAAATTAACTTGAATTCAACTATATTTTATTGTATTAATTTTAAAGCAAATAAAATTGTATTTTAATTTTTCTATAAAGACGTGATTTGTTAATAGTTAAACTCTCGTTTTTTTTTAATTCTTTGAACGTGTTTTTATACATTATTACTACGTCCAATTTTTAAAATCTGAATAATTACCCGCGAGAAAAAATTCAAGCACGCTTATGCTCATTGCGGAAGCATCACATTCTATCGAAGCTTCAAAACATTGTGTGTTAAAGGTATCTTATTGCTGTGTCCATCTATGTTTATACGTCCATGTTCGCATCCAAGTTTTATTATGTCTGCTGAACTAATAAAAAATACCAGATAAGAATTCTCAAGATTTTTTTTAAATAGTTGAATAACTGAAACTTGCGAAAAGCGGAGACAAAGTGAAATGTGCTAAGTAGAAGTCAAAACATGGACTCTAGTAGCCATGAAAATAGTATAAAGACTGAAAGTCTTAAAAATTGGGTAAATGGTATGCTAAATATTTTTTATATACCAACTCTTTTCGGACAGGAGTTCTTAAATTTCATGTGCAAAGACCCGTTATACGACCGCTAATGTCGTCGCGTTAACAGCGCTGCGTTAGTGTCGGTCCAAGCGGACAATGGCACTACCATGGAGTAAATTGATGATACAAACGACATTGCCATCGGCGATACAATAGATGAATCAACAGCTAAATTAGCAACTATACAACGGAGCAAATACTTTCATTTTATAAGCAATAAAAAACAGAAAATTCCGTCAAAGGAAGAACTGGAATACAAAGTAAACGTCACAAGTAAAAAAAATAGTTCATAAAAGGTATATCAATTACAAAAACCCCATCGGTCTACATCAGAGAGCGCTTTCAGAATGACTATTCCATCATTTCAATATTATTTTATGGAGCTGAGACTTTGACATTAAAAAATGTAATTTAAAAAGAATCGAGGCCTTCGAACTCTGGTTATACCGCGTAGTATTGAAAACATGGACTGATAGAATTACAAATAAAGAAGTACTGGAGAGGGTTGGTAAATAAACAGAACTAATCACCACTATACAAACCAGAAAACTGGAACACCTAGGCCACGTGATGATAGGACCAAAATATGAAATTTTGAGACACATAATACAGGGAAAGATTCAAGGAAGATCTGTTGGCCGAAGGCAGAACTCATGGTTAAAGAATCTACGTGGCTTCAATGCAGATCGATTCATTTGTTTAGAGCAGTAAGTTCTAAAATAAAAATAGCCATTATGATTGCCAAACTCCGTAGGGAGACGGCACTCTAAGAAGAATAATTCCATCATTATTGCTATCTGGATTTAAATTTTTAAATATGGTTGAATTAATTTTAAATTACATTTTTGATGTTAAAAAACTAAGATGTTTAAGTTATAAACGAAATTAGCTTCATGACAACGTAGGACTCTACTGGGATTTCTAGCCCTTAGACGAAGTGTCCCTGAGGACTTGTTGGTAGCAACTGATACAAAGTAAACGTTTAACTTGCATGGTATGGAACAGGAATGACACAGTCCAACAAAATGAAAAAATATGCTTCTTAAGAAATAACGAATTTCAAATACTTTTGATACTCTGATGTCAAAAATGTCTCTTTTTCTTCATAAGTTTATTTTTGGTATCGATTATATAATTTTAACTTTGTTCGAAAATATGTACACAAAGACACCTGTAAAAGATACTAATCGAATATAATAAACGTCCGCACCAGAAGAAGAGCAAATACGGATTCTGATTGCTACCAGGTCGAAAGTAGGGTAAGTTCCAGAATTTTTTCAGAACACTTAAAAATGATACAATGAACGATAGAACGGACGCAAAGATACGAACAAAAATAGAGAATATAAATATCAAACTAGAAAACACACTTAAACATGAAAACATGATTAAGAGTGGGAAGGGTGCAGAAAAATCATGAAAGAAGCAGCTTTATAATTACTAGGCATAGAACAAGAACAAGAACGAATAACCGTTTTGAGGAAGAATGTCATATTATAACAGAAAGAAAAATAGGGTATATTTACTGATGCAACAGAACTCGACAAGCACAGGACGAATATAAATAACTACGTAAAGAAGAAAAGAAAATCCACCGCAGAAAGAAGAGATAAAATATTAACAAAGAACTTCAAGAACTATAAGAAATAACTAAGTAAGCCAATAGAGACAAGACAATTTTACCAGAAACTGACCAAAAGCAGAAAAGAATTCAAACAAAAGAAGTGAAGAGATAAGGAGGGTAATATATTGACAGAATAGCAAGAACAACTAAGAAGATGGAATTCTTGAATGCGACCGAGAATGTTTAGATTGTATTGATATATTAGAGGTTCGTTTGTAATACGCCATTTAACGTTTTTTTTTTATAAAAATATTGCATTTAATTATGTGTTCTTAGTATGACATAAACTAAATAAAAAAATTAATTCTCTGCTACTGACAAGTTTCTTGGTAAAACTCATAGAGCTAAATGAATCGATAACTTAATTTTAATTGATCATGCATATGACTCATTTCATTTTTTATTTGCTGGAATTATAGTAATTGCGTAGTAGTCGAGTTTGTATCAACAGACGCATCGAAATAAATTTTTTAAGCTATAGCATTTTTCATATAAAAATGCTTGCACGTCACAATTTATATAAAGTGGCGTCACTTATGTTTGAAATTTCCAGAACGTCAACCTTAGAGTTCGAATTTTCCTAACACAGTTAATAATACGAAACCCATACGAAACATCGATCTTTCATAGGCGTCAACATGGCATAATGATCAGACAAATGTAATCATCATTATATTGGGAATTTCAGAATTATATTGATTATATAACCAAAAATATTTTTATTATTATTAATATAAATTTAAAGTCTAATGTTTCACAAAATTTTAATTAAATAGATTAGACAATTGTACGCAACTGATACGGGAATACTTCAAATTTTATTGACAATTCAGCGTGTGGCAAAATTGTTTGAAGTGTTGCCGCTTTTTTTTTAGAGTAAGAATTTTGTTTATGTTTTGATTTCTTACACAATTTGATCATAATATAATATATATCTATTAATAAAATTGTATTTATAAATACATATTGAATTTAGATTAATAGCTTTAAAAACTAATTATTGTTGTGTATTGTGATTGTGCTATGCTAAAACAAATAAATAGTCTGTAGAAAGCTGATAAGCTTTCATATAAGATAGATTATTTTGAACAAGAAGTAATGGCTGGACGTTTTTACTATTAAAGCCCTAAAACTAGAGGTAAGTTTAAAATTTAAAATATATAATTTTGTATTAAAATGTTTTCTTATGTATTTTAGTCTGTTGCAATAGTCTTAAAATTAAGTTTATTTACTTTTAATATAATAGTTTGACAAATAATTGACATTTTAAAAATTCCTCACTTACTAACTATTCTGATGTTTTGGCAACGCTGTGGGGTTCTGACGTCGTAAATCTTGAATGACGTGCAAGCATTTTTATATAAAAAATTTTATACTTGTATATTTTAATATAAAAGTAATATCTTTGTAATTAAAATTCATTTTTCTATTATTTCGAACCCAGGGAACTTCGTTATTTCTCAAGCAAACTTTCGTGGAAAGCAAACTTCGTTATTTCTCAAACGTAAATATAATGTTATACTTACACGACAAACCTGGGCGGTTTTTCAATATTAGCATATTTAATAATATCATAGTCCGGTTCGATATTCGCACAAGCGTATCTCTCTCCTCTTCTATCTGGTGCTAAAATGACGATAGATCTTCCAATAGCGGTTACGTCACCTTCTAGTGGAAAGTTTGAATCGGTAAAAACTTTTCTTTCTAGGCCAATATCTATAGTTCCTAATCGAGCTGAGAGATCACCCACGTGACATCGAAGGGGATTCTCTGGGCCACATTCTTGTTGGTACAAGTCAGTCTGAAAAGATAAATAAATAAAAGTCAATAATGATATGATAGATAGTTTTGAACGAATATAAATGTCATAACACAGAATACACCAACCCAACAGTGTATTCTGTGGTGATATCTAGAGGCGATAGGTGACTTATGGGGGCAATATTGTAGGTAATTTGAGGTTATTTTAACGATTTTTCTTCCTCGCCTACCATATCAGAATTATCCGGTATTGGCCATCACTATTGCGAAGGCTACTCGATCTTCTGTCACATGAAATATTTGTCCTGCATTTGGTATATGAATCCTGTGCAGGCAATATCTGTAATATGATTCACACCACACAACACCAGAGCTACTGTTGTAACTTTCCCTGAGACATACACTGTATTCGCTCCGTGCGTGACTGACACGACACCTACCGCCTTTTTCTGACAATTTTGGAGTCCCAATTTTCAGGTTAAACATATGACACATGTTTGACATTGTTAAATACATGCGAAATTGACAATTATTAATAAATTAGTTTTTTAACTATATTTTTTCAGTTTATGTACAAAATAAATGTAGTATTAAAAACTGGATTTCTCAAAATTCATCATAATATATCTTTTCAACTCCAAACGTAAGAGAAAGGGAAAAATCTAGTACTGACAAATCAAGTTTTTCACGCAAAAGAGCATATAATTAAAAACAATAATAGTAAAAGTTATGATATAAAAGCTAAAGTCATCGGTAGTTAGCTTGAAGCTTTATGAAATATCATTCAAGGTAAATTATTTAAATTTTTCCTATTTCAATTGCGTAAAAATGAAATTATGTGATTTACTTTTTCATATAAATAGCAGGAATTTATCTTTTTCTTTTCTCTAATTTATATGTAATCTTTGGGAACCTATAAAAACTACACTCACTGATTTTGCTATTATTAGCACAATTAAATACGCAACATGTATTTGCACACATTTTTGATAAAATTTATGCGTAAAAATATTTTGTCCAATATTCCAATTTTGTCATATTTCGCCGGTATGCACGCTGGCGTCGTTTCAATGTACCCCTACCATGGTCACGCACGGAGCGAATATTCGATAAGTAAATTTGTTACTTTATAGGGGGTTCATCGTAAAATAGATAATAGAAAAACTCTAATGCTGCTTTTATTAAGTTAATTACTACTATTTACAAATAACAGCAATGATTAGAATTATTATTACTAAGTAAATGACAAAATAAGTTAAATTAATACACAATAACGTTATTCACAATACGGTATGAGATGAACTGTACTGTGCTAATTTACAAAGTTTGAGGTTACGCATTTTCTGAGCAATGCTTTTCAAGACTTTATAATCAAAAGCACTGGTTCATTCTGATAGATTTGTATATACAGTAAAACCTCCCTTAACCGAAACGGCTGACAGTTTAAGTAATTTCGTCAATAAAACGTAATATTTTATCGCAAAATGTAAACAATTCCATTAATTTCACTTATCGATTGATGAGATATTTGAGAAAAAGCACTTCCAGTTTTTTATAGAAGCAAAAAATGCTCATGGATGTCGACCACTTTATTTTCAGAATGGTTCGAAAATTAATTCGTCCCAAGTGTAAAATCCTTTTTAAAATGAAAAAAAACCTTTCCATCAATGCATTTTTGCTTGTTGACAATGCACCAACGACCCTCAAAATCTATGCAATAGTGATCATTGTCAGATTTTGCCACCGAATGTCACGAGCTTAATTCAGCTGTTACACCAGGGAGTAATAGAGACAGTCGAGAGACATTATAGAGGAGCATTCACATTATAGAGGAGCATTCGAGAGACATTATAGAGGAGCATTCACATTATAGAGGAGCATTCGAGAGACATTATAGAGGAGCATTCTTAAAACATCTGTTATTACAGGGGACGAATGAATCCAAAAGTGTTTTTCCCATTCTGGGCCATTCCAAAAGCCCATTCTGGGCCAAGATCAAATCTTCAACTTTAAAAATGCTGGAACTAACTTTTTGATAGGATTTTGATCGACGATCCTGAAGAAGAAACTGGTAAAGAAACGACAGAAGAAATTAAATCTTTAATAAAAAATTTGCCGGGATGTGACGAAATTAACTAAGAAGAGATACGTGAGTGGTTAGCAGCCGATGACTCAGAAAGTAAATTCATCGACCAGGTCATCATTGGTATGGTTTTTCATCCAGACAACCTGAGCATATCAGACGACGAAGATGACGACCCAACAGGCAACATGTAGCATGAGATCGCCGATGAGATTTCAATGCCTTAAGGAAAAGAATTTTATAGAGTAGGCCTAATTAATTAGGGACACGAGTAGGTTCTTAATTTTTGTTGTCATTGTATAAAGTTTTGTCCTTTTCAGATTGCTTTACGTTTCGTCGAACGATGAAATGAGGCAAACTCACGACGTTCTGCAAATTAACGATAGAGATATATAGCTGCAAAACATCGTTGTCAAACGATAACGTAAAAGAAAATAGAAGATTTCTTTAAAAAATCATGTTAAACTTGTTCATTTTCTTTAATTTTAATACTTTATTCTGTATTTACTTATTAGAAAACATTACGAAATCACCGCATAGTATTTTTTAATACCAATATTTTAACCAATGTTAAAAATGTTTAAAAAAACAATGTTATTTTTAACCGAAATTCTTGTTATCCGAAACGCCCTTTTCCCAATTATTTCGGTTAAGATTAACGTGGATTATTAATCACGTGATCGCACCGTACTCAATTTCGATTTGACTCGAAACTACAGTATTTTCAGGATATTGGTGATCACACACAAGTTACATGGATGAATAAAACTAAAAGAATTGCATTTAAATACCCACTGCTTGTTAAATACAGATTTTACGATAATTATACCGGATTGACTGCGAATGTTTCACGCAGATAACTACTCGTTAACAGATAACAAAGAAGTAACATTTTTGTAACAGAAAAAACCCTGAATATTTTTTTTGACTATATCCATATCCGAGAACTTGTAAAAGATCAATTCAACAATCATTCTGAAAGATCTGAGGTATAATTTAAAAGACAAAATAAGGATTATACAATACCTAATACCACAAAGTGTAAACCATGGCTAACTGATGATACTAGGAGTATAATTCAACGCAGGAAATATCAAGGAGATATATAGAATACCTTCGAAAGAAATCAGGCGCCAGTCTCAAAAAGATAAAGATTACATCGCCCAAATATATACAAAAATTTGAGAACATGGCTTTCGCAACGATTCAAAAAATTAAACTCCTCACCAAAGAGTTGAAACCTCAAACAGGTTGCAGATGAACAAGGAATTCTACAACGCGAAGTTGATGAAATATCAGAAAGGTGGTGGAACTACTATGAAAGTACAAAAAAACGAGTTTCCATTTGAAAATACAGTATACTCCCTCTATAACGAACACGGTTATTACGAGGTTTCGCTTATAACGAGATACAGTAAATGTACCGTGAAATTTCTATTGAATTATAACCCTCTATAGCGAGGTAAATTTGGTTATAACGAGAGAAAATAAGATCAAAAAACGCGTTTTTTACGGCCGTGGCTATAATATTTGTGTGCTTACTTACTTTATTTTGTATTAATTAATTAATTAATTATTATTTTGGAAGGTGTAAGGTACTCTTTAAACTTTGTTAGAATAACTTTACAAGAAGTTTTACTTTCATCTGAAGACCACTCGAAATTGTTATAAATACGAAGAGCCCGGTCTCCAATTCGATTCAACAGCACGCTGCCTTGCAAACTGTCGTTCTCCTCAAGCTTGCTGGCTTCCAAAAATATTTTAAATTTTTGTTCGAAAAAGTTCCAATTATCTGCCATATTACCATCAAAACAAAGTTCTGTTACTGGAACAACGTGCTCGTTCATTTTGGAGGTTATGTGAAATTACAATTACATAACAATTTTCAAAATATTACTTATCAATTCTCCTTAGGGTGCGAAGATATCGAAATATGACTGCGCCATATAATATTTGTGTGCTTACTTACTTTATTTTGTATTAATTAATTAATTATTATAAATGAAATAAAACAAGACATCGTTTTAAGTTGACGGTTGACACACCTGTCCTTTATTATTCAATAGGCAATTTCTAGCAAATGCCAACATCCAAATGACATCATCATGACAGTGACTATAAATAAATACCCTTTTTAACTGCCGCCCGCAATAAACTCATTCGGAAATTTACAATTTATGATTCACAAGTGTCATTGTGGGGGTTTGACCATTCGCACCTAATAATAAGAAGGTCCTAATTGACAACATATGAAAAGTGCTTTAAACGTTGTAAGAAACTTTATCCAAAGACAAAATGCAAACGAAGAAGCATACAACTGTTTCACATCTTTAGAAACTATGATAGATAGAATACTGGACAATTTAAAGCAGTCAAAATGACAAACTTCTTCCAATTGCAGAAGCAATAGTTTATGTTATCCTTGAAAATACGCTTTATACAGATTTACAGAATTCATATTTTTTGTTTTAACGTATATCATTGACAATAAAAGTATTATTTTTCCTATTAATGTATTTCATTGACAATAAAAATAAACAACTTTTTTTCAAAAACGCCATTCAAACAATATTTAGCATCTTATATTGCTCCAAATGGCTTAACTATACTGTAGGCACAGTATTATTGTTGTTTGATATAACGAGATCGGCTTATAACGAGGTAATTAGTCTGCTATTTCAGTTCTCTTTATAGAGACAGTCTACTGTATATTACCAGCTAACTATCACAAACAGTCACAAACAATATCCTGATATTGATGCTATGCAAGCAGATAGTATAGATTATCATAAAGGACAGCAAAGGGATGGTCACTGACTCAGCTGTATTACGGAACCATGATCAACTGTATTAAGGAAATTTATTATTCTCAGGAATGGATTAAGGAGATAGAGTGAGACAGAGAGAGAAAGATAGATTTGTAAATAATTATTTATCTACTCTACGTTCACCTGTCTCTTATAATCCAGTATTTATATTATAGTTTATGGCAATAAAGCACAAATTATAAAATAAAACATTCATTATGTAACTTGTGTTACATTCTCTTGACAACTTTTAGCAGACAATCTAAAGATTTTCATGTTTGTATATTTATGTAGCGTAGAGATTGTTTGAACATACCTTTTTTATATTTATAATTTAGATAAACTAATACAATTTATTTACTTAATATAAACTTACATTTAACGGATCAGCCAGTTGAGTAAAATAAGGATTCCATACATATCCACCAGCTACACATCTAGTTGCTAGAGTTTTTACCGTGGCATCTACACCGACTGGATTGACATAGATAGCCCAGTTGTGCTCCCTTGTCTAAAACATAAGAAATTTAAACTCTCATATACAAGACCTTACCAATTTGGAAACAGTTGTATTAATTTTAAGGAAAAAATTATTTTCATATGGTTCTGAAACTATTTTCTTGTGACATTTCTATATTCCCTACTATATTTTATGGGAACTAACCACAATTTTAATTAGAAACACGTTCATTTTGTAGTTTAGATTTGCCATTTCCGAAGTGGAAATTGAATCGTCAAAAAAAAAATATATATATATATATATATATATATATATATATATATATATATATATATATATATATATATATATTTTCAATAAAAAATTATGGTTAATTCCCATGAAATATAGTTGATAAAAGAGCAAGTCTTTATAAAAAATGTGTGCATGTCATATACATTGCTAGTCAAAAGTCCGTTCCCCCCTCGTATCTTTTGAACGGTTATACTTATAATAGTGAAATTTGGAGGGAGGTAATAAACAGAAATGTCGGGAAAAATGATAATAGACGAACATGAAATTCGAACAACCTGGTGTAATTATATAAGTGAACTGTATAATGATGATAGACCCGAAGAACTGGATACGTTAGTTGAAGGTGAAGGACCAGAAATACTAAAATCACAAATACTGCATGCTATAAAGTTAGCAAAGAACAAGAAAGCCATTGGCCCTGATAACATACCGACAGAGATGTTAAAGCTTATAATTGAGGAGAACATTGGAATACTGGTCAAGCTTTTCAATGATGTTTATTCGACTGGTGATATTCCTGAAGATTGGTTAAAGTCCGAATTCATAACACTACCAAAAAAACAACGTATGAAAAACTGTAGCGATTATAGAATGATATGGTTGAAACACAATTTGGCTTCAGAAATGGACTGGGAACTCGGAACGCCCTCTTTGCACTAAATGTATTACTGCAGAAATGTCGAGATCAAAGGATAGACGTCTTTGCTGTATTTATTGACTATGAAAAGGCCTTTGATGGGGTACAGGATCACAAATTAATTACAATATTAAAAGATAAAGGAGTTGATAATCAAGACATACGATTCGTAGAAAAGTTATACTGGCGTCAAACAGCGACAGCTTGTATAAACGGAAAATCAACAGAAATATGTAAAATACAAAGAGGTGTCAGACAGGGTTGTATACTATCCCCACTGTTATTTAATTTATATTCAGATAGAATATTTAAAGAAGCGCTGCATAATTTGGAATGGGACGTGAAAGTTAATGGAATTCTGATAAATACAATCAGATATGCAAACGATACAGTTATTTTAAGTGATGACATGAATGGACTACAATGCCTTTTAAATGCCATGATACAGTGGGAAGAGAGTTTGACCTAAACATAAACTCTTCAAAAACAAAACACATGGTGTTTAGCACACCAAGATGCACGATTATATGTTGATGGTCATATAATTCACAGAGTGTCCAGTTTTAATTATCTTAGTTGCCATATTACTGAACAATTAGATCCAGATCAAGAGATAAAATGTAGTAGATAAAATGTTTAAAAAAACATTTTTAAAAATGAGGTCATTCTTCTATAATGATAACTTGCAACTTCAACTTCGAAAGCGCAATGGTTAAATGCTACATTTGGTCAGTCCTTTTATACGTTGTCGAAGCATGGACATTAAAAATATCCACCATTAATCGTCTGGAAGCCTCTGAAATGTGGCTGCACAGACGTATACTAAAAATTCCATGGACGGCTATGCTGACAAATAAGACAGTCCTTGAGAGAGCAAATACTGCTCGCGAGCTGCTTGATACCATCAAATGTAGAAAGATCGCCTATTTTGGACACGTAGTAAGAGGAGACCGATATAATATTCTTGAACTTATTATGATGGGTAATATCGAAGGACGCAGAGGAATTGTAGAAAGCAGGCCTCTTGGTTGAAGAATATCAGGGAGTGGACAGGAATAAGGAAAGCTGAGCAACTCTTTAGAATAGCTCGAAACAGAGACAGTTTCGCCATGTTAATCGCCAACGTCAAGGCGACTTGATAGGGCACGTTAAGAAGAAGAAGAATAAATAGAAGTAGGCATGACGTTACAGCGTCACTGTAACTTGTTATGCATTTGTATAATATGTCAGTATTTTAACCATCATATAAATGTTCATAAGAACGGTAAGATATGTTAATACTGGATAAAAGTATTATATGGTTTTTTACAAAGTATATATACAGAGTGGACTAAAACTCTGGAAACGCCCAATTATCTCTTAAATGAGTGGTACGAATTATACAAAAAGAGATATATACCTACATATTTTGCAATATAAAGTTTGAAATTTGATATTTGTTACGTTGCCAGATCTACCATTTTTCTGATATCATTAGTCACTTTGGTTTTTTCAATGCAACACCCTGTTTTAAAATCTTCACTTCAATACCAGTCCAACCGCATACAATACTTTCGATTTTATGTAGTCAAAATATAAACCAAAAGCTTAGAAATGCTTAATGGTCTCAATAATTTTTTTGATTTAAACTATGTAGTAAAACTATGTAACTAAATTTAAATATAATAATTAAAAGTTTAATACATTGCTAAATTAATATCTCCCTAATCAAGTGTTCAAAATGTCCTTCGTTGTTAATTTGACAGTATTCTAATCATGGACGTATAAACACAGATGGACTCAGTTATTTACATAAAATTGTGAAGTCAAAATTATTTGAATAGGTCACATTCTCAGCACCTTCAGCTGTTGTCACGTTTTGTTTTAAAATTTCTTATTCGCGAGTCGCTGAAAATATTACTCCGTATTTTATACTCTACAGGTGCTATCAAACCAAAATAATAATTTATTGGTTAGATTAATATATTTAATTGTAATCAAAATATCAAATGTGCACATAGTGTGCATTATCATTTAATAATAACGTATAATTTAGATATCAATCAATTATTTTATATGTAGAAGCACTGAAAACTATTTATAAATGGCAACGGTTATTTACATTTCTCTGTATTATGGATCTACGTCAAACTTCAAATGCTGTTCCATGTTTGTTTACTTTTTAGTAAAAATTGTTTTTTGATATTTTGGCTGTATTTTTAGTGATATTTGTGAAAAGTCAAATATAAAAAAAACAAAATATTTACATCCCGATCTCTCATTTCATTTGTTTAAGATGAGGAAATTAGGAAGCGTGTTTGTTTACATTTTAATAGGCGTACCATTGGGTTTACTCATGTTCATTAATGTATTGAATAAGATATAAGTTCATGAAATTAGTAGACATTTTTAAATTGTAAGTATCATCTGATTAAAAAAGATCTGTTTATTACCTTTTTAATTTAATATTTCTCATGGATGCAAATAAATTAGTGAAATGAATAAAACTCTTTTATTTTTCTATGTAGGTTTCCAAATAATATTGACGATCGAACTATTTTGGTAGCAAATTTAGAAGAAAACATAAAGATTTTTTATTGTAGCATTATTTTGATACCTATTAAAAATTAACTTGAATTCAACTATATTTTATTGTATTAATTTTAAAGCAAATAAAATTGTATTTTAATTTTTCTATAAAGACGTGATATGTTAATAGTTAAACTCTCGTTTTTTTAAATTCTTTGAACGTGTTTTTATACATTATTACAACGTCCAATTTTTAAAATCTGAATAATTACCCGCGAGTAAAATTCAAGTACGCTTATGCTCATTGCGGAAGCATCACATTCTATCGAAGCTTCAAAACATTGTGTGTTAAAGGTATCTTATTTCTGTGTCCATCTATGTTTATACGTCCATGATTCTAATTAATAGTGCAATGAGTCTATTAAATTTCTCTATGTTTCTCTAGAAATTTATGGATTCATCGAGAATTTTTTATCTTAGCTCTGCAACACTCGCTGGTTTAGTTTTATAAATTCTACTTTTTAAGTACTATTCAAATCGGGTGGACGAGGAGGCAATTCAATACTACCTAATTTATCCATCAATGAGCTGATGTCTTGCTGAAGCCATATCTCATTAAAATTGGTTCCATCTCGTTTTTCGGGACATCAATTTCATTTCAAAGTAGCATTTCATAATTATTGCTTATTAAATTTCCTTCCATAAAAACGGCCCAATTAACTAAGTACTCACTATACCCAATCATACATTTAGATTTGTAATCTTTGAGTATAGTTTTCATAAATCCAGTGTGGATTTACCTTACTCTAATACCTTAAATTTTGGCGATTTACATTCCTACATATTGTAAGTATTGCTTCGTCGGAAAAACGTTAACTTGTTAACGAAGTTCTGGTCAGTTACAATTTTATTCATCATTACCTCACTAAACTGTAATTTACGTCAGTCGTTTTCATTTAATTCTTGCAACAACAGGAATTTGTAGGGTTTAAATGAATTCGTATGTAATACACGCAAGACTAAATAATGACCGACATCATGTATTTGTGCAGCTCTGACTGAGGATATATGTGGATCTTCAATTAAATTCTGCATTAAATCTGAAGTTTTATTTTAATTTATAACAATTTTTTGTATACTTGTTCGAATGCCATCCTTTAATCGTCAGTTTTCTCAAAGCGCTTTACAATTTTTTTTGTGTCATCGCCTTATGGATAGGAGAATGGTTTGAGAAAGTAACGTTGAACAAATCTTTCTATCCCCGTAGTCCCTCATCATTAAAACAGAATTCACTGTTTTTCATTTAAAACCATCTTTATAGTAGAGCTTTTAAAAACATATAAAACTTCTCCAATAAACGTCAAGCTAATTTTAGTTGTATGAATTAATGTCAAAATTATAGCATTCTTACTTGATTAATTCAAAACTATTTGGCACTGAGAAGTTTTATTTACCCAGGACCTTCGTGACTAGATAAAATACCAACTTTTACATATGGTTGAACTCGTATTCAAGTCAGGATTCCAATAATAATACAATATACCAAGTGTTGTATTTAAAAAACTAAAGTAACTAATGATATCAGAAAAATGGTAAATCTAGCAACATTGCAAGCATCACATTTGAAATCTTCATATTGCAGAATAGGAGACCATCCATTTAAGAAATAATTAGGCGTTTCCAGGCTTTTTGTCGACTCTGTATATTACATAGAATAAAAGCTTTTGTAAATATAGCTCTACTGTTCTCCACTTACCACATTTCTGTCATTTTTTCCAGGATGTCTAAGCTTAACTTCAATTGTAGTATCGCTAGGGCTGCCATCTTTATTAATTAATTGTCTCTGGAAAACAAGGTTCTTTAGTTAAATCAACATAATATTTTTGTAATATCAAATTTTTTACCAGTTTTACAATGTTAAAATAACAAAGTAAATATGCAAATACCAAATTATCTAAGTCTTTGGTGAAAACATTATAATATCTGATCAATCTGTAAGTCTTTAACACGAAAACAGTAGATACTTGCTAAAGGGAAATCAAAAAATGGATCAGAAATGGCCAAAGAAAGTCATCATAGAAAAAAAAATTAATGTTATATACTACCAATATTGGATAAATTTTATAGGCTACATGAATCATTTTATACAAGAATACATTAAAGTATATAAGATGATTAAAAATTGAAGAAGATAGTAAACAATGGTGTAAAATTGTAACTTTTACAGAGTTTGTTTACTTTTTGAAATCATTGATTTAACTCTTAAAGGTAAGAACATAAGGTTTTTCTATGACATAGTTTCATGTTTTGTATTGTTCCATTTGCATGAAGTGGTGACTAGTAGGGAAATATTTATGTATATTTTATAATCATACAATGTTTGATTAAAAATTCACCGCCAGAAATGTGTGATTACATCAGTTGGAGATATAATGATGGGAAAAGAACGAACCTTTCCAGAAGTGGCAGAATCGTGGCAGTTTGCGCAACGTGGCAGTTAATCACAACGTAACGAAGTCTCGTCTTGTACTTTATGTAAAGATCGCCAAAGAAATGGGCATAGACAACACGTCGTTTAAACCAAACTTCCACAGAAGACAGGTTTTCAGAGACCAAATGGAGAAAGCACTCCCGGATTATTTATACAGTGATCTAATATGTTTAAGGTAGCGATACCGAATAAATGAAGACACATTGCTGTACAATTTGCTGAAGTAAACAATCTAAAATTTCCCGAGGCCTGGAAAGAAAAAGAGCGAGCTAGTGATGACTGGTTTACTGAGTTTATGAAGAGAAATCCGACGTTAGCCATCAGAAAACCTGAGGCAACTTCTCTTGCCAGAATAATAAAATTTAATAAAACTACTGTAGACGAATTCTTTGACAAATTGGACATGCAAACGAAGAAGTTCCGACTTTCAGATATATTCAATCTTGATTAAACGGGATTTCCATCGAGATTGAATATATTCATCATAATTTGTGAATGATGGCTGGAGCAGTACACGGAGCTTTAGGACTGAGCCAATAATTTCTCATCTTAGTCTGGAAGGTGTCAATTTCTGTCGAAACAATGGGATCACAATTTTAACACTTCCGTCGCACACTTCCAACTACTTGACTGACAAACTGTAGCGTGTTTTTATCCGTTTAAGAAATACCACAGTAAGGCAGTTAACTCATGGAAGTTGGCCAATCCTAATTAAACTTTATCAATCTACGCAGTTTCTAAGCTATCTTCTAAAACTTGGGATCGGACTGCAACCTCTAAAAATGTAAAAAAAGCTTTCTGAAATGTGGTATCTCACCACATGATACTACATGACAGAAACATTTTTTAAGACCATGATTTTCTCTGCTCTGTGGTCACAGATCGTCTATTTCCTTCTCCGGATCCTCTTGTCGTCAGTACTTCCTTGAAAGCTATTGAATCAACATCTGAAGAAGTTGACAGAGACCATGCTGTTGTGCATTCTTCCATCACAATTAGCTGTTCAGCAGTCCTACCTCGAGTTGTCAGTTTTCTACACTAATTCCTTCCTGTACACATAATGTTAACAAAAACAATAGAAATTAATATGACATTGACAGTGACTTCTGTCAAACACTGACAGCATAAAGCTGCCTAAAATATTCAAAGTCTACAACCAAAGCAATACTAAAGAGGTTAATATCACATCATTCTCCCACACTATAATCTTCCAAATACCGTGGTAAATGACGAATTCTTTCAGATCTTCTAGGTACTGCTGATTGAGGCGATAAGCTCTATTCAGAACTCATTGGGAGTTCTTAAAGAAGTAATGAATCCGGTGGAGGGGGAGATGTAGATGCATCTGCTAGGGGTTGCATGTTTTGCGTGGTTGTATTAGATGAAGATTCATTAAGGCTCGAATGTAACTCATGTGGGTCTTCTACGAACGCTGATTCTTGACCTGGTATATCTAGTATTTGCCTTTCACCTCGTTGAATCGGAGCCAGATGACGATTAGACACTGTGGTCTCCCGTCTGTCTTTCAGTTTACCAAAAGAGTATTCAGGATTTGCCTTTATTACCTTCACTTCCTCTAAGATAGGATGGTACTTGTTTTTCCGATCGAATCTTTTCACCAAGACACGACCAGATACTGCTAGCCATGACGGTATTGTATTCCTATTTGGAGATCGACGTGTGTGCACGAACATCCTTTCATGCGGCGTACAGTTAGTTGTGGTACACAACAGTGAACGAATGGAATGCAGCCCGACAGGTATGCATTGTTCCCAAGTCTCAATAGGTGCTTCATGTGATTCACAGGTCAGTTGAATAGCTTTCCAGATTGTAGAATTCAACTTTTCCACTTGATCATTTCTCTGAGGATTATAAGCAGTAGTTTTACTCGTTGCAATTTCTCTGGAGTTAAGAAACTCTTTGACTTCAGCTGATAGAAATTGAGTACCTCTATCCGAATGAATGTATGCAGGCATTCCAAACATTATGAATAAGTTATTTAAATAATTCTTGATTACTGTTTTGGCACTAATGACACTGCATGGGAAAGCAAATGGAATCTGGAATACTCATCTATTACCGTAAGAATATAACGATTATTGGTACTCGAAGGCACTGGTCCTTTAAAGTCAATACTAAGGCATTCAAAGGGAGATGTAACTTTTATAAGCTTTCTTCTTAAAGTACCTCGGCTTGATTTTAGCACATACCCCACAGTCACGAATTATAGTCTTGACTTCATTGAGAGAGAAAGGCAAATTCTTTGATTTTATCCAATGCAACATACGTGTTACTCCTGGATGACAAAGTGCAGTGTGAAGTGACTTGAGTTTTGATGCACCTGCCGCCGTGGTAGTAGCACAAGAGCAGATGGGCGATAAAGTATCCGCTGCTTGGTTGTCTTTTCCTGGTCGATGCACAATGTCATATTTGTAAGGTGTCATATCTTGCTGGAATGCTTCGTGTTGAACATAAATGTTACAGACTTTTGATCAGTAATGATTGTGAAAGGCTTTCCTATAAGAAAATGGCACCACTTCTTTAGAGATACAACAATAGCGTATGCTTCTTTCTTCACAGCAGAATAGTTCAGCTCACTAGAGTTAACTGAACTTAAAAACAAAGCAACGGGTCTGGAATCCTGACTCAAGGTAACAGCAATTGAGTGTTCTGAAGCATCCGTTTCAACAACAAATGGCATATTTTTGTTGATACCGTGGACAGATGACTTTGCAACTATAGATTTAAGATTTCCAAAACAACATTTTGTCCCTTTTTATTACAGTATTTGCAGATGAATTCCCGAGCAGGAAAGTTCTTCCTTGAAAGTGTTGGTCCACCACAGAAAAAAACATTTGTGTCCTGACCTAGAAGAGACAGCATAAAGTTGCCTACAATATTAAAAGACTACAGCCAAAGCAATACCAAGGAGGTTAATATCACATCAGTGGTTAAATTAACTTTTGATCCCGATAAAAAAATACAACCGGGAAGATAACTCAAAATTTGAAAGGTGAACATAAGCATCGTAGAAAACGGGAATATTAACAAAACAAAAAAACGAAATAAAAATTGTATAAGTTAAATTTAATACAGAAGTAATTATTATTATTTGACTTTAAAAAAATCTTACCATCTTCATGTAACCAAACGCATGACCATTAGGGTTGTGGAAGGATGCTATGGCTCGCAATTCTCTTGCTTCTGATGGACTGTAACCTCGTTCAATAGTTGAGCAAGCCCATCTTCGTGATTTCTGAAATATATCAACATAGTCTGTAATGAATGAGGCAAAATAAAACAGTAGGGCATACCCTTTTGAATAATACTATTGATCTTCCTAAAATACTTCTTGGCCCAAACAAACTTAACAAGGTGTCGTTATAGTAGGTTTTGTACATTGTGTGATTAATAGGGCTTCCAAACTTTCCACTTAAATCACCAGCTTCATATTGGTCGGGGGTACCATGGTAAGCGCGAGGAGATGATGCAGGATCTACATTTAAAGGATTCCAAGTACTGTACAGTGATGTTTTTTCGCATGGAAATTCAAGATTTTCTTCAACTGGTGTCTACAATAATAAAAGTTGTTAGTAAACTTTTGTGCTTGATACGCTTTTAAAGGTTAATATGATTGGTATTAAAAATATAAAGTAAAAGATGCTTTTTTTCTCAATTATATCGACATTTTTATAAGGTTGTACAATATATAGTGAACTAAATTACTAACAAGTAAACACCGATACACTACGTGACTCGGAGGCACTGTTGCTCAGTCCTGCTAAATTATGGACGAAGTCGTTCGCAGAGGTGAGAAACACAATAATGTATAGATACAAAACAAAAAAAAAGGCTCATTTCGTTTGTTAAGGCTTTTCTTGCAATCGGCATTAACCCATTCTTTATCTCTCCCCTTCTTTACTTGACCGCTTAACCGCTTAACCGCATTTGAGCTGCTTTTTTCATAGCTTCTTTTTTAATGTCCCACTTCATTTCCATGCCACCTTGATTTTCGCTTTGTAGTAATTTTGCTGTCACGTCTGCCTGGAAGTTGTCAGCAGTATCTTAATTTTGGCGACGTCATATTTTTTATATGATATTCTCTGTTCTCTGATCTTTGGGATAGTTTTTCTTAATAATTTCGTGATCATTAGTATGTAATCGGAATCCACGTCTGCCCCTCTATAACTTCTAACATCTGTTATTAATTTCGCGTGCTTGCTTTCCACAAGGACGTGGTCGATTTGGTTGTGTGTTCTACCATCTGGAGCTATCCATGTTTCTTTGTGGATTTTCTTGCGATCGAAGTAAGTTGCTGGTATATTCTATAAAGTTCGACGTTGTATCGCCACTTGTATTCTATATTCAGCTAGTGAGAACTGAACTCCTAGTCAGGATAGAAATCGATTCACAAAGGAATAATCTGTGACTAGACTTGGAATACAATTAGGATTACGTCGGACATTGGACTGACTGTGAACCAACAGAGGAATATACTTAAGTTTGGCATTAGACCGTACTTAAGATTACGGTAGACTAAACGTTGGAATAACGTTTGAACCAACTTTGGAATATACCGAAGACAACGGCGGACTAAACGTTGGATTGGCTTTGTACATTAATTAAATGAGAAAATAGCAATGTAAAAATAGGCGAAGAAAAGGAAAAGATAAAATATAAAGAAATACGAAAGGTATCAAAACAAATATCTCACCCTTTATAAAGGGTCTGAAGGCAACACTTGTAGAACTTCAACTGCCCAGTATAAACTGAAATTGAATCAAAAATATTCCTTTTTATAAAAAAAATATTAAAAGATTGGATGTAGTTATTTGGCGGAATTTTATTTGGTCCAAGATAAACGGAACTCTAAGGATGATTCATAACGGGATATTGTCATTCGGACCTTTTAACAAACATTCACAGGTTGAAACAAGCCGACAGCACTATATTTGCAAACAAAAAAGTATCCGAACTGAGTAACAGCGTTTAGAAAAACGACCGCACAAAAAGCAGAAAGCAAAGATTCAAAGATCTTGAAGATTGCCCTGAAGGTGCCAGAGTCAATGGAATCATCATTAACAATGTAAGATATGCCGATGACATCGTAGTATTAGCAGAAACAGAAGACCAACTAAAAATATTGATGAACATACTATCAGAAGTAAGTCACTGACTAGGTTTGGATATTAATCTTTCCAAAACCAAAATCATGGTATTCCACAAGAACCCCCATGAACAAATTACACCCAACATACAAATCAATGGTATCACCCTTCAGAGCTCCCAAAGCTTCATATACCTGGGCAGAAAACTAAACAGTCAGTTAGACCACTCAAAAGAAATTAGAAGACGTATTGAAATAGCAAGATCTGGCTTCATGGACATGCGTAAAATGCTCTGTAACCACAAGCTATCAATCACAATAAGGTTAAGAACACTAAAGTGTTATGTGTGGTCTGTACTACTATATGGCTGTGAGACCTGGACATTAAAACAGTATGACGTCAACAAACTGAATTCATTCGAAATGTGGATGTACCGCCGAATGCTAAGAATAAGCTGGACCAGCAAAACTACAAATGAAGAGGTACTGGAAATAATGAACACACGACCTCATCTGTTAATACAATCAAAATTAGAAAGACGTCATATCTAGGACACATAATGCGCCATAAGGAATTTGAGCAGCTCCAGGTAATATTAGAAGGCAAAATCGAGGGTAAAAGGGGTATAGGAAGAAGAAAGAGAAATCCTGGCTCCGAAACATCAGAGATTGGACTCCCACAACAGGAAATGACTTAATCCATCAAGCCCAGAACAGAGAGAAATTTGCCATATTGATCGTCAACCTCAATAGAGAAGGCACTTGGGAGGAGGAAAGATTCAAATGTACCGTTCGGTACTTGGGAGTATTACAGTGGTAACTTTTCAAAAGAGAACGGAACGGATAGTAAAAATAAATGAGTGGATGGTATTATGAATTTGTCTCGTGAGAAAATGTTTACTGAAATTTAAAATAATATAGCAGGTGTTTTAAAACTTTAAAATATCAAAATTTGGACAAGACGTAACGTATCGGACGTTTGAGACGTTACAAAGGATCAATGTTTAACAGTTGTTTTATTAATAATACGGCATAAAACGATTTCTTAAGAAATAAGTAGAAACAATAACGTTACAAGGTGCAGCGATTCTTGTTTCATTAAAAGGGTATTGAGAGCGAAATTTTACGCACTAATATCCTAAACTATTCCAACACTGTCTTTATGCTGTGTTTTACCAAACAATTGCAACATTATTTTGAGACTTTCAAGCTTATCTTAATATATACCACAACTTTTGTGATTTTCTATACATAAAATTTTGATTCTGTGTACCATCTCTACTTTCAAAAATAAACTTTTTTTACATTTACGTTTAATCTAGAAGCTATTTAAAAGACAACAATAGGGAAAGACAACCAAGATCTAAGAAAATTACAGAAAAACCTATACAAAAGTTAATAGATAGCATAAAAATAAAAAACCTTGACTTAATTTGAAGAAGAAAACTCACCATGTGTATGTGATAATCTTTAACAGACGTCAGTCCTTCCAAATCAACGTCAACATCTGTAATGTCGTACTCAGTTTGTTGAACAAATTCTATTTTTCCCTTAACTGTCAGATCATAACCGTTAGGAAACCAATCCCTGGCAACAGCTTTTCTTCTGTAGACACCACCAATTCTAAAAGAATGCTAAATAAGATATATAACTCACTGAAATATGTAAAATAGAAAGAATAATCGTACCTACATTCAAAACGTTATCTGTCCATTAAATTGAAACTTAGATGAACTAAGGCAATATTTATTGTTAAAAGTTTTTAAATATAACTTTTTACTAACCTTGAACAAGCTAGTCTTTCGCCTCTGGCTTTAGGTCCATGGTCGTCGTATAAGACAAGCGATTTTCCCAAAACAGAGTGAAAACCTGTTAACGGTATCATCGGGTCAGTCCACAGTTTTCTAGATATTTTGTCACTATCAGCTATTTTTCCAGAAATATCAATTGTACCTTGACGTGTTGAAATGTCTCCCAGTCTGCATATTCCAATAGCATTCATATTACATCGGTCAGGGGATGTTCTATTGTCAAAATCCACCTGTAAAAAAAAGTAAAAATAGTTAGGTACTTAATATTAATATTAAAATGTCTTTTAAATATTATTAGCGATAAAGCAAAAGAGAAATGTTTGAAGGTGCCTGAATTTTTGTTCATACATGGGATGCTAAAGATGTACTTATAGATAACCGAAGACTACTAAAATCTCTTCGGCCAAATAAGAGAAAAGATAGAATATTGCGTATAATGTTAAAGCAATGGAATCAATAAATATCCAAATGGATAAACCCAAATTAATTTTCATAATTTTCTGGTGGTTCAAATGTGGTATTTTCAAATTGGACTACACTTTTCAAAATAAACATTTCAAAGGTCGCTCAAGGTCAAGATGAAATTCTTGACTTTCATCTTGACCTTGATCAGGTAAATGAAAACCCTCAATTAGTGAAATCAGTGTGGATTTATCCTTAAATTTTAGTAGTGAATGGCTGCCTAAATAAGAAAAAAAAACATTGGTCGTCATCGTCATCATTACTCTGGCTTTCTAACCCTGTATAGGTCCTAGATACCCTGTATGGATAACTCCCATATTTCTCATGTCTTCATCGATATTATCAAGGAACCTTGTTCTGGGTCTTCCTCTTCTTCTCTGACTAATGGGTCTATCAAGGAGCGTTTTACTAGCCGAGTCATTTTGTTCCATCCGCATTACATGCCTTACTCTCCTCAGGCGTTCTATCTTATTATATTTTACGATATCTGGTTCCTGGTCTATTCTATAAAGTTTGCAAGTTGTATCATCTTCTCCAAACTCCATTGTCATTTACCGCTCCACAGATTCATCTTAGTACTTTTCTTTTGAATCTGACAAGCTATTAAAATTTCATACGAATTTCTCGAGCATTTAAGATAAAGATATAGGTACAAGTATATTTTCGCTATGTAAATAAATAAAGATTTAAATTTTTGGACAGACATAAAAAGTGATAGATAACATTTTCTAAAATACATAACTAAAATCTTACTTTCAAATTGAGTCTAATTAACTTATTAATATAACCAATTTTTGAGGTTTTAGTCGCATTAACATATCGAAAACTAGCATTATAAAAGTTGTGTAGAATATTATTCTTTTCTGTCAGAAAGTTCATCTCTATTTATTTGAGTCCTTTTCAATAAACCTTGTTTATGATCATTCACCAAAAATCAAAATGTGTAAGTGTAATATCGGGAAATCTTCCAATTCACAGTTCAAAAGAACTCTTCACCAATCCTAGGTAGAGAAAAATTTTGTCCACACTAAAAACACGTATCCTGTCCACCATAAAATTCCTAATTGAAGAAGTCAACTAAACAACTAGCACTTAATTGTTTATTAAAGAAAAAGCGGCCAATAGTTCGATCTCCTAAAATCTCACATCAGACATTAACTTTATGAGAATTGCTCATTAAAAGCTGTAATCCATGTAGCTTTATCTCTGGCTCAGTATCTACAGTTTAAAATTCAGCCTTTACGCCTCTAGGTATCTGGACGAACGGTTAGATAGCAGGTGGGCCATCCAGGGCCACATCCAGGAATCTGCTACGAAATTTTAATCTTTTGGATTTACATTTGTCTGCGAAAAGAGGATGGCGTTTATTAATTGTCTGCTTGGTCCATTCCATTAATTCGTGTGCGTTTCTGAGACAATTGCATTCCCTCAAGAGGACTGGTCTGATATTGTTTCTCGCTGCCACTTTCTTTTTTCAGTGATATCTTCGAATCTTCGAGAGTGACATCATTCCATTTAACCTAGAGTTTCTGTTTAGATGGAGGGCGTGGAGATGCAAATATATTACCCATCTTGGTTAGGATGGTATAAGTGAGTCTTTTTAGTAGTAGTTCAATATAGTATCGAGGGTCCGTTCTAGTTTCTGTTCCACTTCCTTAAAGGTTTTTTCTTGCGCATTGATGACTAGGTCACCGGTCCTTTAGGAAGTATTCCATATACTCGTGTGTTAGTTGGTCATTTGGTTATATAATAAAGAGGATGAAGACCATGACGCTAACCTGTTCCAGGTCAATGTTTTATCTTCACCCTAGGCTTTTGTTTATCTCCAGCATGACAGATAATCAATCGCCTGCTTTTTGGGAAAAGAACTTGACAACTTTTACTAGGTAGGATCTTTGAACGTGTCTTATGGTTTTGACAACAGTCTTTCTGCGATTCACTATATGATAGACGAGGCTCAGGTCAATTAGTGCAAGCCCCGTTATTTGATTATTTTCGTGTCCCACTTCTGTGTTTTATGAGGTTGAGAATTTGGCTGGTGTAATGATTTATCTGGTCTGAACCCAACTTGTTGTGATATAAGATTCTAGACGACTATCTTTTCTTTACGATTTAGAATGAATTTTTCATACACCTGGAAATGATGTCATAGAAGAAAGATAGGTTGGTAGCTTTTGGGTGAATATGAATCCTCAGCCGTCTTTAAAGACGCTATTGCTTTAGCTTTATTCTAAAATTCGGCAGCCTGGATTTTGCAGCTATTCCGACAATTTTTAAGGAGCTTTAAGGTTTATTTTTAGATGACTTGGCCTAAGTTTTTTATTTGTTCCACAAAGATACTATCCAGATTGAAGACATCTAATTATATTTGGTTTCTGTGATCTTAACCTGGCATTTAGTAGGATGTGGAGAGTTACTTGGGCTGGTGTTACTTTACTAGGTTGCCTAGACTCAATGAGGTCGCAGCTTAACTTTTTGATGAGATTATAAACCATCTTACTGATGTGTATCGTATCCATTCGGTCTCAGGTGTCCTTTCACTTTGTTTTGCTTCACTGAGTATTTTTATCAAGCTGAGTTTTTAGTCTTTCAAAAAGACCTGAGTATGAAATGCAGTATACAGTCTTTGGGTATGTGTTGCTTTGAATTATCTTGACTTCATATACTTGGCTTTTTAAATGTTGAAGTTATTTCTTCTTAGAAGAATTTTTGTTCTTCTAATTGCTTCAGGCAACTGTATTTTATTCGTTTAGTTGGGTCTTTGCGATTGGTTCATAAGCTTTTCTAATGAAGCAGTCCTGGATATTGGAGCTTTTGAGGCGTTACCTCGGTTGTATTTTCACATCCAGATTTTTTTGATATAGGAACAGGAAATTTTGGGTCATACAAGCATGACAATTTACCGGCTTTTTCCATTTCTCCAACAAATTCCTATTACTACCCATCTCACAAGAGGTACAGTATTCTTGAAATCACTCATAATGATCTTGATTTTCTTGTCTTTGAATTATGGCCTGTGAGTCACATTTAAGTAATTTTGTGTTGTTATCTACTAATAGGAACACTCTACCTGTCTTTGGTCTGCATGCACATTCGTTTCTTGTTCTTCTGGAGATACAAAATGGTCCAGTTTTGCTTCTACTTAGTTCAGACAGAACACTCTGAGTGTTTTTTATTTGCGGAAAGATTGGCGGTTGTTTGGAACAACGCTACCAAGGAACGCCGCAGTTTATATTTTATTAAAATCTCTCGGAAATAAAGACTATTTCGTTTGATTTTGTAAATAGTACTTCGGTCTTACCTTACTGAAAATAGCTTTTGGTGTATTTAGCTTTTCCATGAACAATGTGGGCATTATAAATCAACTTCTCTGCTACTATGAGTACTATCACCATCGCTCAAATTATTTCAATTTTTCTCTAAAGTTAATGCCATTTTATTTCTGTGGTTATTGATTACAACACAATAAACTATAGTTTATAATGGATTTCTTTACTTATTGGTGTCAAATTATTATTTTTCATGGAACATGATACTATATGTTAACAAAAACCACTTGGTGAAAACCAGAAACTGATAATTATTGACGAAACTGTTAAAAATAATATAGCCGTGGCAGTGAATTATTTTAACTATTCCAAAATCCTAATAATTCAAACGATATAAAGTGTCTAAACGTTAATAATAATTTCAAGTAAAATAACATGTTATACTATAGACACACGCCAAATAACAAAGTACTAGTTAGTAAAATAAGTAAAAATCGGCCACAAATTAAATCATTATAAAAATAACAACCACTTACCTTATAAGGATTATATACAGCTCCGGAACTTAAACATCTTGCCGTCCAATTATAAAAATCTTTTCCTGGAGGAAGCTCGTGGATGGCCCACCTGTGTTCAGCTGAGTTATTAAGAGCTGCTCCATCTGCGTGTACTAAATATTCGATTAGTATTGTTGTATCTGCCCAAGGTTCATCCTTAACCTGTCTCATTAGCATTCTTCCTACTGTTGGATACCTAAAGAGAACCTGGGCGGTAAAAATTTGTTTCTCGTATTGGAAATTTGGTTCGTACAAGGTTACTCCGCCACATATCCAAGGTTCTGCGATTAGTTCTGATGAAGGATATTGAGTATTCCTAAAATATAACAAATAAATGGATACATTTATCTAAATTTAATATATTTGAATTGCATGCAACATTTTTATCGGTCATTAAAGTTTTCAAAGCCAATGAAATATATTGGAAGCTTTTCCATCTTGTTTAAAATAAAGAATTAATGGCAACATTATGTATTAAATGAAAAACCAATAATTGGTTAATTGAAATAAGGTAGTAGTTATATCAATTTCATTAAACAATAATAAATGTTTAGTTCAATTCTATTTTTAATGTAAATAATACTTACTTATAAATAACTAAGGACCTATGAACAGATGAATACCTTCCTTGCAATGGGAGATAAGTATCCCAATATTTTCCACTTAGTTCTTGAGTTCCTGGTACAAGCATAGTTTCATTATTTCTTCCCAGAAGTTTACCAGATAAGTCGCCTACAGCGTATTGGTCCTGTGTTCCAAAGCCTTTAAAAAATGAAACATTTTAAAACTAGTTAGAATAGAAACGCTTTACTAGAACATGGTTTTAATGTATGTAATTATTCTTGCAGTACCGTCTCCTATCGGAGGTTGGCTACCATCACAGCAATATTTCCTTTGTTGGCTGCAGCTCGGAACAACTGTATTGAACTGCACCCATACCACTCCCTTAAATTTCGCAACCAGGAAATCCTCCTACGTCCCACTTTTCTCTTTCCCGAGATTTTTCCTTGGATTGTGAGTCTAAGCAGAAAGTACTTTTCTCCTCTCATTATGTGGCCCAGATATTCCAATTTTTTTGTTTTTATGGTTTTTATGATTTCGCATTCCTTCCCCATCTTCAGCAGAACATCTTGATTTGTTACTCTTTCTGTCCATGGTATTTTCCACATTCTCCTGTAACACCACATCTCGAATGCCTCAATGTTTTTGATGTTTATCTTTTTCAGTGTCCAGGCTTCCATGCCGTATATCAGAATGGAGAAAACATGGCACCTTAACATTCTCGTTCTTATGTTTATATTTATGTCCCGGCTGCATAGGAACTTTTTCATTTTGACAAACGATTGTCTCGCTATCTCTATTCGCCTCTTGATTTCTCTTGTCTGGTCATTAGTATCAGTGAAGCAAACCCCTAAATATTTGTAGGACGTAACTCTTTCAACTGGCTGATTATTTATGGTTAAATTCACATTGGTGTATAGCTTCTTTGTTACAATCATGAATTTAGTCTTTTTGATGATACTTATTGGTATGGGTGTTTATGTTTTCCATAAAAAACTGTAAATTTGCTAGGTTATCTGTTACTATTAGCGTGTCATCAGCGTATCGTATATTATTAATTAACTCTCCGTTAATTTCATACCAATCTTTTGCTCTAGGAGCGCTTCCTGACATATTGTTTCGCTATATATATATATTGAATAATAGTGGAGAAAGCAGACAACCTTGACGCACACCTCGGCGAATCTCAATTTCTTCGGTTAACTCATTATCAACTTTAATTTTTGCTGTTTGTCTCCAGTACAACCTGGATATGATGTTAATGTTGCGACTGTCGATGTTTTTGCTTCTTAGGATTTCATACAGCTTTTGATGTCTGACTTTACCGAAGGCCTTCTCAAAATCTATGAAACCTACGTAGAGGTCTTGGTTTACATCCAAACATCTTTGCATTAACACACTCAGACCAAACAAAGCTAATGTAATAGTAGAGAGCAATGTATGTAATAATCTCAGAGTTTCCACAAGAACGTTAGTTCAAAATGCGGTAAATAAAATACTTAACTGGTTATCAAGCTTTAGACTTAAATTCTCAATTCCAAAATCTAAACTTATCCATTTTACAAAAAAAAAACTACAGTAGGGGGTACTGTAGACTAGCGCGAAGTTTCATAACATGTTTTCTGTATAATTAAAATTTAAATAATATTTTTAATATTGAATGAAGTAATTTTATTATTTATTTTTTTATAGATTTGTATAGACTCTAATACAGTTAAGAAAGTTTACAAGTTGTACAGCGAACTCTCCCCGTCGACTAAATGGACGCTTCCAACTGTTTAATGTCACTGCTAACCTAACCTTACATGGCAAGCTGTCCCAAAATTTATTATTTTGAACTTAAGGGGGCCAATAGTAGTGTAAATTTGAAATCGCGACTGAATCCTTCCCTAGAATAATATAGAATAATAAAATTTGGGGCAGCTTGCCATGCAAGATCAAATGCTATCTTTTAGTGTTTTTTACAGATATTCAATCTCTTAACAAATGTTCACTTTTTGTTTCGAGTGTATATATAAAATTTAAAAATGTATTAGTAGATTAATACATGTACTGGTACATTAATTAGAAGACCTGTAAGAGATTAAAAGAGCAGAATATTCCTATACAAACACTATATAGAATATTAAAATACTCACCATTAGGAGGTACATTGTTTAAATTAATTTTCATAGGATTGTAGACAAAGTTAGTCGTAAAACAAGTATTTTCATTCTGACCTACGGATCTGGAAGGTTTCATGGGTAGTTCGTGGATTTTGTATGCAACTACAGTAGAACTGTAAACAATTCTTGTTTCTAGATCACCCCTAGCTGTTGTTAAATTAAATGTCAAAAACGTTGGCTCAAATTTGGTATGCTGAGTCATTCGGATGTCTCCTTTTATTCCACCTGATTGAATGATCACCCTAAAATAGATAAAAATGTAATAAATAAAATACAATATTATATTCTATGTATTTTAAAAGTTGGTCCGATATATTATGTATTTTTATCAACTTATATAACTTTTATATTACTATTACTTTTGTTTTGTGCTTCAGAATAGTATTTAACTGTTTTATTTTTTATAGTTACATATTTGGATTATTTTCGCCTTTCTTAAAGTTGTGATTATAATATTAGTTATCCATTCATATTTTTGTTAATCTGAAAGTTGTGAACATTGTCAACTCTTCTATCAGCTATGGTCCACCACAGTTTATTTTTTGTGTTTGTAAATATTGAGGTAAAATAAAAGCTGGTAAAAAAGGTGCAAAAAGCTTCGTAAAAGTTTGTGTAACTTTGCAAAATAAATTTATAATCGAACATTTATCTAGATTTATGTTTGAATAGAACTTTTTAAGTATAATAAATTAATTGAATGAAAATGAAAAATTGTGTTTCGAAACTATTTTACGGATTTTATAATAAATTAATTTGACAGAGAAAAATATGAAAGAAATAGCTCTTTGCAATCCGTCTTTTTCGCAATGTTGACATATTATTATAATTAGTATTTAATTACTATTCTAATTACTATTTAATCTAATTCTAATTCTAATTACTATCTAATTACTATTTAAATGGGAATAAGTCACAATTAAAGGTTAAAGTTAGTTTATTGACGTTTCAATTTCCACTTCGGAAATCGTTCTCATTATTTTTTATTATTTTCTTATTATTTTTGTTAATGTTACACAAAACTTAAATACCTGCTATTTACTACAGAGTCGTACTGAATTTTGGCACATCCTAAAAAAACATCTTCATGTTTAGTTTCAAATAGAACCAAATACAGTCTTCTTTGGGGGCCATTGAGATCGCCAGGTAATAATATCAGTTCTTCATCTCTATATAAAGTTTTAAACTTATATTTGTTGTAATCGGTTGATACCTTAACTTTGCCCAGTCTTTTATCCACATCTCCAATGGCTTTTCCTAAAAAAAACAAACACTATCAGGATTCTATAATATAAACATTGAGTAGGGGAAAAGAGGGTACGGTGAGACAGAGGGAACAGTGAGATATTTGCCAATATTTGGTAAATTGAATTTCGATTGTTGGCACGACTAAAAAAAACTAAGTTGGCGGTATGACTATGAGATTAAATTTTTAGAAGCAGTGACAGTTTAAAGCATTTTGTTCTTAGTCGATGTCAAGTTTTCAGTCATTGTCATCAATTTTAAAGTTTGTATGAAAAAAACTATTAACAATAAAATTGTGGTGTTGATAGTAACCGATAGTTACGTATTTAAGGTAAGTCTAAAGCATGTTATTTTCTTACGCATTAGTTTCAGAAACATTTTTAAGTCGTTTAACTGGAAAAATTGTGATGTAGGTACAGTGAGACATTTGATATGTAGATACACTGGGGCATTTTGTAAGGTGCACCAGGTGCCTCGGAGACCATCGCCGTTATAATATTCGTGTTCAGTGAACCCAAGAATCCCCGAATACATATTAATATTGAAGACACTTCCGTCAATTATTTCCGAATTACAAATTTATCATTTTTCATTACTTAGAAATGCTTTTTAAAAATGCATTTTCCTTGTTTAATAATGCAATTTTTCTTTCCGCATCATCATTTTTGTTCAAAAAATTTCCTGATACTCTCACAAATCGAATGCAACAAGTTTCATTGAGATCCATCCAACTGCAAAAATTTGGTAGGTTTATTGCTTTATTGTAAACCTAATACAGGGTATGTACATATTCGTTATAAGTCAGAATTTTTGATGGTCCAAGTTTCTGCAGCGAGGTAGCGATAGGAAAGATAAACGCCCTTGCCAGGCGTAGTTTGGAGGTCTTAGTTATGGCCTTATTTTCAAGATTTTAGCAAGTTTGCTCCATTGCTTGTGATAACAGAGTTCAAGGAATAACCCCCAAATTAGAGAAAATAAAAACACCGATACAAAAAATAAAAAATAAAACCAAGTTATTTATCTATCGACCTAATTAAACATGCCACCAACAAGAACATGTGTACTTTTTACTACAACGTTCTTAAAGACTGCATACATTTTATATGTACAAATGGAAACAAGACCACTTTGTAATTATTGAGACACGCGTATAAGATTTTCAATTGGGAACTTAACAAAGAGTAAAATCCGAAAGACACAAGAAGTCACGGAGAATAAATAAAAAATGTGGTTTTCGACAAAGAAAGTGTTACGGTCAAATTATATTTACACAACAGGATCTAACACAGAAGGGACTAGAAAGAAAAATGTAACTTTAGAACAGTGTTATAGACCTTTGCAAGGTATTGGTGGCAGACATTATGTATCGGAATAAAAGAATCAGGAAAACATAACGTATATAAAAACATAATAAACGCTTGCTATCTGAAGATCAGCATAGGATACACAACCTAATAGAAATATTTACAAAATGGAAGTTAGAAATAAACAGATGACATATATGCCTAAGAGAAGGAACAGGAAATTATATCAAAACAGACGACGATGTAATCTCTCTCTTCATGCATAGATCTTTTACATATGCTCAAGCGGTGTGATACAAAACGTTAAACAAGACGAATATATCGGATTCAAATTAAATGAAGACGAAAAAGATAGGTTTCAAAAAATAGGAACAAGAAGAAATATGATCAAATCTTGAGGAGAAACAACTTGGCAAAAAGAAAAAGAAGTGTTTATCAGGCTATGATTTACCCAGACGTATGGATCAGAAGTGTAGATTAAAGTAAAAATATGTCTATAATAACTTCTAGTCTCAGCACAAATGATGTACTAAAGAAGAAGCTATGGTGTAACTCTATTTAACAACCATTTAAGAAATGAATCTATGAGAGAAAGTATAAAAATAAAATTCGCGACAATGAATAATACAGCTTCTTCTTTAAGTTCCATCTTCTATCGAAGGTTGGAAATCATCATGGCTATGCGGACTCTGTGCCTGCCGCCAGAGCTCTGCTGCCGCTCTAAATAGTTCTGCACTACTGCATTCAAACCATTCCCTCGAGTTCTTAAGCCACGATATTCTTCGTCTTCCCACATGTCGCTTTCCTCGAATTTTGCCTTGCATAATAAGTTGCAATGATGATTATCTTTGCCCTCTTATCACATGGCCTAAGCACTCAAGTTTTCTTCTTTTGATTGCCAATATTATTTCCGTTTCATTTCCTATTCTTTTAGTAACTTCTGCGTTTGATATTCTTTGAGTCAACGATATTCGTAGGATTCTTTCATCAATCAGCCAATCGCATCCACTGCTGGACATAGGCCCCCCTCCGTTTTTTCAAGTGTTCTCCACACTGGGCCGCTTGTAGTCAGTTTCCCGCTACACGTTTTATGTCATCGGTCCATCTAGTCGGTGGTCGTCGTCGGCTTCTTTTATAATTTCTGGGCCTCCATTCCATAATACGTCTTGTCCACCGTCCATCTTGTGTTCTGACTAAGTGCCCTGCCCAGTTCCACTTAAGCGTCGTGGTTCTTTTGATGACGTCTTGAACTCCTGATCTTTGCCTGATTTGTTGGTTTGTTATGTGGTCTCAAAGGCTCACGTTCAGCATTGCACGTTCCATGGCTCGTTGTGTAACTAACGTTGAGTTTATTCGCAGATATTTGTAAGTGTCTGTTTGTTGTATGGTATTATTGTCAATAGTTTATTTCCACTCATTACGAGATTTGTCAAAAGTTTAGTTTTCTCAAAGTTTTTCTTTAATCCTGCTCTTTCAGACAGACTTTTAAGCGAATGTATCATAGAAACTGTATCCTGTAAGTTATCTTGGATTAATACAACATCATCTGCAAACCTTAGATGATTTAATCTTTCTTCATCTATATTGATGCCCATATCTTGCCATTGGTAATCTTAAATATTGACTCTAGAGCTGCAGTGAACAATTTTGGTGAAATATCGTCTCCTTGTCTAACTCCTCGACGTCGTATACTTGATGTAGTGTTCTCGTAGATGTTTTGATTAGTGTCGTGTACCTGTAATCTATTTGGCTTTGATTTAGGGCTTCCAGTACTGTTTCAAACTCTCCAGAATCAAAAGCCTTCTCGTAATCGACAAATGTAAGAACCAGTGGTATGTTGTACTCGATGCACTTTTGGGCTGATAGAAATCAAGTTTAGGTGTAAGTCTCTTTGTTAAGATTTTCATAAAGAGTTTGTACACCAAAATTTAAAGGCGAACAACTTATTTAGATGCACTCTTTGTAATGTCCATGGTTCCAAGCCATAAAGAAGAGTAGTGAATACGTAAAACCGAAGCATTCTTAGGCATTTTCCTAACCTTATATCCCGACAGCAAATGAACTTTTTAACAAATGATTCACGTGCTATTTCAATATGTATTTTATTTTTTTTACATATTTTCTCTTTTAATAATACAGCTGAAAAACAATTAAAGTGGTACAGGCATAACAACCAATGAATATGAAAAAATACTAGCAAAATTGAAAAACTGCACCAACAAAAGCAATAAAAAAAGAAAGTCACAAAAAAAATGTAACCCATTCATCACCATTCACTAAGGAGACAATCATCTAAAATGGGATAACGATGTACTATCATTAACATAGGTAAACAAAAATTTCATAATAAACGTTTTATTAAAATTTGTGCGTGAATTAGTAAGATGCCCGGTAAAACCAAATAAAGCAAAATAAAAAATGAAGAAAGTAAGATAAAAAGTCCCAAGGAATCGAGATTAACAAATTTAGGAAACAAAAAGGAAAACCGATTTTGAAATTGGGATAGCCGAATTCAAGAGAAAAGGAGTATTCACGACGCCAATCAGTAAGTAATTAGATTCAACAGATAACTATATAATACATAAGCAGTAAAAGCTTAAATTAAATTATACCTAATTAAAATAAAATAGCAGCAGCATAAGAAAAAGCAAAAATCGAAACCTGACGAAGAATAGCAGGAAGGGTGTAAAATGAAAGCGTAAATCTTTACAATATTAATTAAATAATTTCTGCAGTAGCAGTTTATCAACTCTTTTCTTTTTTAAAAATTGTAATTTGCAAATTTTAAATTTGCAGATAGTAAACTGATACTGTACTTACCTCCTCCTTTGTCATTTGGATCAAAAACAAGCTGAAGGATATTACAATTATCCACGTGTCTATTTTCATCCGAGTCCAAAATGTCGGTTACATAAATCTTCCAAGAATGTTCTGTATTTTGTAATGACCTACTAAAATTTTCTTTGTTGCGTACATGATAGAGATCAGTCATTACTAACATATCTGTCTGATTATCGCTGGTGGAAAACCACCTGAAATATACATTTCCTGCTATAGGGCTGTTGAATCGTGCAACTGCAGTTTTTTCTTTGGTTTTGTCCACCTATTAAAAAAGATGTAAAATTATTATTTAGAAGCAAGCAAGTGACAAATTTAGAATCAAGAAATAATTTTACTAATGAATAAAATGAGTCTCACACATGGACGTATAAACATAGATGGACACAGCAATAAGATACCTTTAACATACAATGTTTTGAAGCTTCGATAGAATGTGATGCTTCCGCAATGAGAATAAGCGTGCTTGAATTTTTACTCGCAGGTAATTATTCAGATTTTAAAAATTGGAAGTAGTAATAATGTATAAAAGCACGTTCAAAAAAAAAAAACGAGATTTTAACTATTAACAAATCACGTCTTTATAGAAAAATTAAAATACAATTTTATTTGCTTTAAAATTAATACAATTAAATATAGTTGAATTCAAGTTAATTTCTTAATAGTATCAAAATAATGCTACAATAAAAAATCTTTATGTTTTCTCCTTAATTTGCTACCCAAATAGTTCGATCGTCAATATTATTTGGAAACTTACATAGAAAAGTAAATGAGTTTTATTCATTTCACTAATTTTTTTGTATCCATGAGAAATATTAAATTAAAAAGGTACTAAACAGATCTTTTTTAATCAGATGATGTCTACTTACAATTTAAAAATGTCTACGAATTTCATGAACTCATATCTTATTCAATGCATTAATGAACATGAATAAACCCAATGGTACGCCTATTAAAATGTAAACAAACACGCTTCCTCATTTCCTCATCTTAAATAATGTAAATTGTATGTACTTACAAATGAAATGAGAGATCGGGATGTAAATATTTCGTTTATTTTATTTCACTTTTCACAAATATCACTCAAAATACAGCCAAAATATCGAAAAATAACTTTTTTCTCATTTACTGTAAAAAGTAAACAAACATGGTACAGCATTTGAAGTTTGACGTAGATCCATAAGATAGAGAAATGTAAACAACCGTTGCCATTTATAAATAGTTTTCAGTGCTTCTACATATAAAATAATTGATTGGTATCTATTATATGCTATTATTAAATGATAATGCACACTATGTGCACACTTGATATTTTGATTACAATTAAATATATTAATATAACCAATAAATTATTATTTTGGTTTGATGGGACCCGTAGAGTATAAAATACGGAGTAATATTTTCAGCGACTCGCGAATACGAAATTTTAAAACAAAACGTGACAACAGTTGAAGGTGCTCAGAATGAGATCTATTCAAATAATTTTGACTTCACAATTTTATGTAAATAACTGAGTCCATCTGTGTTTATACGTCCATGGTCTCACAACATGTCCTAACGAGGTGATGGTTTTATGCATATTTTTTTTTATTTACACAAAACCCACTTCAATCTAATAAGGTTATTAGCGGAATGGTTACAGTTAATTACATACAGTTAATTACACTTTGCTTAGTTAATTAAAGTCTTTTAAAAACAAAAGTAGATTATCTATAGTGTTTTCTGAATTTAAAATGTCTTTAAGATTGTTTGGTAAATGGTATTTAATTCTGTGACGACTGAACTTTTCGCAATTTTTTACTAGCACATGTTTTACCGTAGGGGTGAACCGCACTCATTACAAATTGGGCGTTCTTTCTTGAACAAATGTTCATGAGAAAACTGGGTATGTCCAGTCGTAAGCAAGAAATAATTATTTGCTTTCGTCTGGATACCGCGGGTGGTTGCCATGGTCCAATCTTATTCTTTATCTCCTAAAGCTTTGATGGTGTGGATTTCCATTTATTGTTTCAGTTCTCGAACAGGTGCTTTATGAAATAGCTTTTTAGATCCATACTTACAGATTGGGGTGATATGGGGATACTGTTGTAGTTTATAGCTTCTTTGGCATTTTTGTCTGCTGCTTTGTTACCTACTATTCCAACATGTGATGGGAACCAGAGAAACTTGATACTTGTATCTTTAGTATGCAATTTATTTAGTTCTTCCTTTATTAGTAAAGCTAATGGATGCTGCCTGTATATTTTCCTGATTATTTGTAGTGATGACATAGTATCACCTCTTCCTGGGGGTTATGAGCGCGATAACTTGGTGGATTAAGTAGCTCAGAAGCCGCGTCCATACCCACAGCCGGTCCCAAGCTCGGATAAAAGAGGAGGGTTGATGGGCCAGGTTAGCATCCTACCCACTGTAAAAGAAAACAAGGCTCAAAGAACCGATATAAAGCCTTGGAAACAGACGGAACCTAAGATGATGAACCACGCAAAGAATTGGAAAACTAGAAGGAAAAATAAGCCCACAATCAGATTAGCAACATGGAACATTACTTATTTCAACGACAAAGACCAAGAAACAATAGAAGAACTGATAAATAAAATCATAGACATTTGTGCAATCCAAGAAACCAAGAAGAAAGGTAAAGGCCAAAGAGAATATAACCAATATTTCCTAGCATACAGTGGAATAAAGAAAGAAGAACGAGCACGAGCAGGCGTAGGTATACTCCCGTTCATAAAAAATTTAAAGATAACATAAACTGCCGTTATATCTCCGAAAGAATAATACATATGAACGTCACAATGGACTATCAATAATTAAATGCCATATCTATCTATAGCCCCAAGAACTACAAAACTAAGGAGGAAGGAGAGGCATTCTACGAACAATTGCAAACCATCCTGGATGAAATACCTCTTGAAGAGTCCTTAATTCTTATTCTTCTTCTTCTTCAGTGCCTTATCCGGTCCGGATGTTGGCGATCATCAAGGCTATCATGGTTTTGTTGACTGCTCTACGAAACAACTTCGCTGAGGTCATCCCAAACCATTGTCGGAGATTTTTCAACCACGATATACGACGGCGTCCCGGTCCTCTTCTGTCAAATACTTTACCCTGCATAACGAGTTGAAGAATTCGATATTTTTCTTCGTTCCGCATCACGTGGCGGAGGTACTCAAGCTTACGTTGTTTAATTAAATTAAGCACTTCTTTTTCTTTTGTCATGCGCTATAGGACCTCAACGTTGGTGACATGGCCCACATAAGATATTTTTAGTATCCTTCTGTATATCCACATCTCGAAGGCTTCGATTCGTTTTTCAGTGGCTTGCATCAGTGTCCAGGCTTCACCTCTATATAGTAACACTGGAAGAACGTAGCACCTCACTATCCGCATCTTGGTTCCCAAACTGAGATCAGTGCAGCACAGCAAGGATCTCAACTTAATAAATGTAGACCGTGCCATTTCAATTCTGGATCTAATCTCTTGAGCGTAGTCCCATTGTACGTTGAGGGTAGTTCCGAGGTAGGTGAATCTGTCGACTCTCTGGATCTCTTCGCTACCTGCCATTAGTGCCCCGGGATCTAAATTTGTACGGCTGACAACCATAAATTTAGTTTTCTTAATTCTTATGGATGACTTTAATGCACGAATCGGAAATGAAATAGTTCCAGGAGAAAAACAAAGATTTAATGCAAACCATGTCAACGCAAATGGAGAACTCATGGCTAATCTCTGTGCTTTTAACGAACTGAGAATCAATAATACATTTTTCGACCATAAGCTCCAGTATAAATATAGATTTGAAAATTCCAGGGGCATAAATCTATGATTGATTTTATAGTCACTAATAGAAAAATCCACCCAAAGCAAATTCAGCATACACCACAACGATACACCATGTTTCAGAAAAGAAATAAAAGAGAAATGTAAAAAGAAACGAGAGGCCTACACTAAATACAAAACATCAAATACCCCATAATCCCGAGACAACTATAGAAGAATTCGAAATGAAACAAAGCAGTTGGTAAAAAAAAAAAAATGAACACTGGGAACAGTTTACAAAAAGGATGAAAAGCGACTTTTATGGTACACAAAAACCAAAAACAAATATGGAGATTCATAAGAAACCAACAGAAAGAAATGGCAGAATTGAATGAATACAATAACATACCAGCAAATGAATGGGAAATATACCTGACGAAACTGTTTAAGGCAAAGTAAAGTAATAATCAACACAATAACATACCTGAATTAAGACACGAAATAGAAATCAGTTTTCAGGAAGTAGAAATAGCCATAAATTCACTCAAAAATAGATAGTCACCAGAACCAGACGAAATAACCAACGAGCTTCTAAAACACGGAGGAGAAAGTATAACCTTACAGATGACAAAACTTATACAAAAACTAATATTGCACTGCAAGATACCAGACGCATGGAGAAACAGCATAATGATACTAATGTTCAAGAAAGAATCTCTGTGCTGTTAATTATTGCCACTCCGACTCCATTTTCAGTTTTAGACGAGTCTGTATAGTATACTGTGTAACATGGGTAGTGTTTTACCATCGGCACCCCAACTTTTCCAATTTAACTGTTGATCAAATATCACTCCTAGAAATTTTATTTTCGTTTGTAAAGAAAAGATTTTTCAAGCATTAGGTTCGGTATAACCGCGATCTGTCTTTTTGAAAACATTATACATTTTGTTTTTATTAGAGCAAAACTTGAAACCTGTACTTAAGGATCAATTTATTAGTTTATTTAAGTGTTCTTGTAATATTGACACCATACAATTAACGTTCTTGCCTTTGATGTAAATAATTAGGTCATCAGTATATAGTCTTGCCTGAACAAGTTTCGCAATGATTTTTATTATAAAGTTTATTGCTAATAAAAATAGAATATAACTGATAATCGATCCTTGCGGGATTCCGTTTTGTTGTTCTCTAAGATAGGATATAGCATAATTATCTCGTACTTAAAATGGCACCGTCTCCTTTCGAAGGTTGGCGATCCAAATGACAATTGTGGTTTTGGAAACTGTTGCGCGAAAGATTTCTGCGGATGAGCGGTCGAACCATCTCCTTAGGTCTTTCAGCCATGAGTTCTGTCTTCCTACTGATCGTTTGTCCTGTACTTTTCCTTCCAATATAACTTGAAGTAATTCATATTTTTCGCCTCTCAACACATGACCCAAGTATTGCATTTTCCTCTCTTTGATTATTCTTAGTAATTCTTTTTGTTTACACATTCGACGAAGTACCTCAACATTAGTAACTCTTTGTACCCATGGAATTCTCAACATTCGTCTGTATATATACATCTCAAAGGCATCTAAAAAATTGTTTATATAGGCCAAAATATTTCTTTGATATCCCATTTGTTTAGAAAATTCAATATACGGTATTTCCATACTGTATTAAATGCTTTATTTTCAGTGCTCAGCTTTTTGAATATTGTTGTAGATAAGGCAAGTTTCTATAAAGCTGGTAAATAAATAAACGTAGCGCGATTTTTGCTATTTTTACGATTCTCATAAAATCAATAAAATTCCATTGACCGGTACCTAGAGAATTTCCACTGTTGAAGCCTAATCTTGAAAACTCATTGCATGCAATTTCGATTTTGAGTTTTGACAACAAATATGAGGCGTTTGAAATAGGCCTAAAAAACGCTGAATTTAAATTTTCATATTACAAATAATTTATTTCAAATCCTGTATAAAAGGTATATAATAAAATGCCCAAACGGGCTATTATAATTACATTACAAAACGTTTTCGGATTGTTAAATCCATCATCAGTGTAAACAAGGTATACATGCTATGAGCCATCAAAATATATGGGTCAAAACCCTTTAAATGTTATAAATTTACAGTTGTTTTACATTATTTATAATTACAAATTAGGATGTTTAAGTTACCGTTGGAATTGGTAACATGGCGACGTATGACCCTACATAGGTAAAATGGTCCTGAGACGAAGTTTCTTCGAGGACCTGTTGATAACAACCAAGGTTAGGTTAGGTTCAATGTTAATTTCTTCTTCACTTCTGTTATTGGTGATTCATTATCGTCACCTTTAGCAAATAGGGAGCGACGGTAGTCTGCTCTTGCTTTCTTCTGAATGTATCTCTGTGTTTGCCTGTTTTTATTGGTTCGTTTATCTCTTTTCTTTGTCCTCGGATCATTCTCCATATTTCTTTTTGTGTTCCGTAGAAATCGTGTTCCAACTGTTTTGGAAAGCTCTCCCAGTGTTATCTTTTTATTTTTCTAGTTCAAATATTTCTTGCAGTTTGGATTCATTTCATTTGCCTTTTGTATTTTATTGTCTTTACATTTTGTCTTCACTTCCTCTCTAAACCATTGATGTTTTCTTTTTAGATAAGTTAATTTTTTTACTTTTCTCTCTTCAAGTGCTTCGGTTAATGCAGTAATTATGTTATTTCTTAATTTTTCCCAGCTTTTCTAGATGTTATCGTTTTCTAACATTTCATTCACAGCATTTTTCTCTGATATTCTTTTTTTAGATAAGTATTCCATAGATTCCGTATTTAGTCATTTGACTCTGATTTTTGTTGTTTGTTAATTTGTTGTACATAATACTAGGCTATGGTCGCTAGGTACTAAGTAGATTTGATGAGTAGATACATCCTATGTCGATTATTTTTGATGAACATAGAATAAAATTTTAGATGGGATGTAACGTGGGTGTAACATAGAAAACATAAATGGCTGGATGCTTGAAGAAAAAAAAAAGCATACCAATGTTAAAAAAAGTTTATCAAAATAGTTTTCTACTAGAAAACTGTTGTAGATATGTATCAAAGTAGTAGCGGCACGTATATACAGGATGTCCCAAAATTGATATCCTAACTTTGGGAAATTGATTTGAAGCCTACTTTAAATTATAAATTAAGAGTCAAACTTTTTCCAACTCTTCTGTGTTATTGGGATATTGTTAAAATAAAATCTAACTTATAGAATACTTATAACTGTACGGAAACGAATAAGTTTAATATATACACAGGGTCATTATATACACAGTTCTTTAGTTGATGGTAGGACACATGTGTTATTATTCTCATATGAATATGTAATGTTACAGATAAATATTTTTCAAATAATATACACAGTGTATTTTATTCTACATATATAAGAAGAACTTACCATAGTAATCGAGGCACATATAATTTGATTGGTGTCCTCATTTTTAAATAATAATGACTTTCCGTATAGGCCCAATGGTCCACTGATTTTTAATTCTTTGGTAACATATTCTGCAGTTTGATTGTCTGGAAGGATGAGATAGCCAAAAGAATCCTGCAATGGCAAGATCTTTTTTCCTAAATTTTGACATCTGTCTTCTAGCTGTGAGTAATCTACCGGGAATTCAGAAAGATACCAGGACCATATTTGAGTAGGGTACTCTAGTGTGGTTTTTAAATCAGTACGGATTAAAATCTCATCTTTTAATTTGGTGAACGAAATTGTGCCATGAAGACCTTGGGAAGAGATGTAACTTCTAAGTTCCAATGAATTTGACGTTTCCAAAACTAAAAACCCATTAAAAAATATTTATATAAATATACTCAAAATAAATGTCTGTTTAATTTCAATATGGTAGCTAATTAGTTTTTACAAAAATTGTTAATTTTTACACATAAATTTTATTAAAAATTTTTAAATTAAAAATAAGAAGTAAATGCGTAAAAGCCTATAACGTTTCTGAAAAATAGAATTATAAAAGTTTTATGTTATACTTTAAATAATTTAAAAATTAACTTTGAAAATCTTTATAGGAATTGGCTAAATCAATTTTTGAAGGCCATTGAACACAATAAACCTGCATATTTATGATTTGTAGACCTAATAAAGGCATTAGATCGCGTCCAAGTCGGAGATTTCTTACATTTATTATATTAAAGGGATATACCAATCAATATTACACAAACCATCAAAAACATCTACTCCCACAATCGAATGCAGGAAAAGGTCAATGGAAAACTTACACAGCTTATACCTATACAAAGCAATTAATGGGATTATGTGCTCTGTGAAGACACTTAGGAATAGTTTAAATAAACTACTATAATGCTTATTATTAAACCCATGATATAATATGTGTGTATAAAATTACAAGTCACAAATTTGGTAAGTAATCGTTTGCCAGAATACAGGTTGTGACTTGAATTAATTGTGTAGTCTCAGCATAACGGGTTCTACAGTAGGCGCCAGTTACGAAGATCCAGTGCAAGCCTTATTTTCGTACCGATTCGATCCTAGCGCCTTGTTTACAAAATTATCCACACTGTAAGTAGCTCAGTGGTAACTATTGAGTGCCGTTAATTGGATGAAAAGCATTATCACGCCACTGTCTACCTCTGGTCGGCACACACCACACGTGCGAAATTGGATCTCCCTATATGGCGTTTACAGTAACTGTATGTAAAATAATTTTATTTTAGCTTACTTTGTGAATTAGGTTTCTTCTTACTATTATTTTGTTACTAAATTAATTACCACCAAGCTGAAGGTGGTTAAATATTTCTTGTATTTTGCTTATTATACATATTTTTCAAATTATTTTGTTTAATTTAATTAATTATCTCCTGCCTTTACGCAGGTTGGAAATAACTGAAATATTTGTTGTCGGTTAAGGGCCTCACTCATTATTAGTTTTCCATTAAGTTAACATCGATGCGTCCAAATTGTTACAATCTTAGACCATTAAATATAAATACACCATATGTTATACCCTTGTTTCTAAGAGTGCAGCCAAAATAAAATGCTTTGCGCAGCTATGTGTGACGTCAGTTTAAGGCAGACAACGTTAGAAACTAGAAGTGTTTACAGGTATTTGCAAACTTTTTTTAAGTGTTAAGTCTCTTCCAAAGTGTTTACAATAGATACATATATGCGAGTTTTATATAATTTTCATTTTATAATTACGTTGAAAACTAAAGAATAAAGTAAATAAGTCTTTTTTATTTTCCTAAAGATTCATCATTGCAAAAAAATGGATTATAGCCATGCGTCGTGAAAATTTTTAAACCAACAAAGAGTTCTAAAATTTGCTACAAGCATTTCACAGCGAATTCATTTATTACTAGAGGATGGAGTTCAAAACAAACAACTCAAACATGCTGTACCCCGCATTTTCGATTTTCCAAACCGTTTAATTAAGCAAGTAAGTAAAACTAGAAAATTTTCAGTAAAAAGGGAAACTGTCTCTGACAAAACAGGCTCTAAAAGTGAAAATATAAATATAACAACAAGTGAATCTATCACCAGTAGAAAGTCCAGGGGAAACTACCTTAGAACCTCCCCTCAAAAAGCGAAGAAATTATCTCGGTGATTTACATATTAGTACAACTGTATAGTCGGCACATAATTTTGTTAAAACATTTATAGGAACAAGAGCGAGTAAGATACTAGTAAATTGGCAACAATGTTAGAATGACCAGTACTCTATGGAACACTAGCGTAGATAATATTTTGGTAAATAAAATTTTTTATTTTTATTTAATTTTATTTACCAAAAAGTTTCATTTTCTATAAAGTTTACATAAAAAATATCGGTGTTGTTAACTTCTGGGATATATTTAGGGAGTGATAACACTAATCGATTCGACTAAAGAGAACTTATTGTAAAATAATAGTACCTATAAAAAATTGTTAATAAAAGTAATTATCACATACAATTAAACAAATTTTTTATGTACAAGTATTTTAGTCTACAAACGTTATATTAACACAACTGTTCATAAGTTTTAAAACTTATGAGCACATTTTATCCCTGATAACTAAGTTATTGTAATCAGGAAAAAATAGAGAATTCATTTTTTAAATTATATAAAGGGTGTTCTATTAAAGGACCACAACTTTGGTTTGACAGCATGTGAGGTGAGACTTAGTACCTCAATAATTTTAAAATGGGTAAGAGGTCTAAAACTTTTATGAACATCTTTTTTATACGTATATATAGTAGGTATTTTATAATAACCTAACCTGCACTTTGACTATTTTTAATTAAATACTTTGTACGTTTTTGTTCTATCATGAAATGTGTTTGTACCTTATTTTCAAAAATATATAAGCAAAACGAGAGTATCTATAATTACAATAAAAATAAAGGTTTTAACTAACACCTAGTTCGAAGTAAGTACTTACTAATCTACTCAGAATCACTGGTATCTTCTAAATTTATAATTAATTTGGTTAATAATGGTAGATATTTAACATAGTCATTTTCCACTGCGATTACATATATGATTACATTTTTCCAGTTGGTTGCTGTGATCTTTGTGATTTCTCTTCAAACTAACTGGAGAACAGTAGACGAAAATTTAGGAGTCACGTTTTTTCTTCTTATATTTGCTTCAAGTTGAGTCGATATTAACACTATTGGGTTCAATGCACAATAATACGGGGGAAGTCTAATCACGATATGCCCATTACTACGAGTAGGTACAGTTATCAACAACATATTCCTTCTTGTACTGTTTACTATAAACAACCCCCAGCAATTGCTTTTTACTATATGATGCCTAAAAGTACAAATCTTTTTCAAATAAAAGTTCTTGAATTTGTAATTTGTTTCAAGTAATATTTAGATAATCTCGAAAGAAGAAATTTTTCAAACCATGATTCAAAAATTAAGTGCGGTTGTATTTGTCTGAATTTGCCCTCCATATCGTCATGATAATCTAGATTCACGTATTTAATTTATTTTGCAGATATTAATAAATACATCGTCGATGTATCTATTTTCTTCACTGCAGTGTAAAATTATAATTCACTGTCCTTTATTGGGCGGTACTGAATTAGAACACTTTGTGTTATTATTCGTCCAACTTTTTTTCACGGTGTCATGAGTAACATACCAGGTCTCATCCAAATAAACAATATTTCGATACTCCGATATTTGTCTGATATAATTATTTCTTAAAGAAATTATTCTAGTACTTTCCATTAGTATCTGGCGCTTGTCTATATTTTTGTAGCTATGTGCGGTTCTATTTGTCTGAATTTGCTACCATCCTTTCTCCTCTGTCCTGAAGAAGATGTTTCTCCTATAAATTCTAAAAAACTGCATAGGTTTAAAGATAACGGATTGTGATTTGTCATAATAGCTATATCCGATGTTTTCATTGGCCCTTGGTCTACGTGCACTGATCAACAATTCGATGATAACTTCAACTGGGTGATTGCCCATATGTTCAAACATAATACCAGGCACATCTGAATGTAAATATCGATGAGAATATTAAAACTTTGTACCTTTTGTAACTCTGGTAGAGTACTTTTATTTTAATTTTTGTTGCCTGTTTTTACTACAGATAAATATGTTTTTATACAGTCTCGCCGAACTACAAGGAGCCTTTACTATATCTTCAAATACTGCCTGGAAAAAGCGCATTTTCCAAACAACTGGAAGCATGCCAAAATCATCTCTCTATTAAAACCAAGGAAGGACGGAAGAAGACCAGAAAGTTAGAGACCAATCTCACTATTGGAAACATTAAGAAAAATACTGGAGAAAATCATCTACAGAAGGCTGATGAAGTACGCAGAAAGAAGAAGAATTATTCAGAAGGACAACTTCGGATTCAGAAGAGGAACAAACAGTGAACTCCAACTAGTAAGAGTCGTCAGCGACACGAAGATCAGATTCAACAGGAAACAAGACAGGAATAGCCATCCTAGACATCGAGAAAGCATATGAAAGGGTCTTTAAGAAGGTACTAATCTAGAAGATGGACAGAGCTAGGTTATCTCATTATTTAGCTAATATATGCGACACATAAATGTAATTAATAAATTACTATTTATAACCCAGTTATAAATAGTAATTAATATGCGACACATATCTAACTAATAGAACCTTTTAAGTTTCAGCCAACCAAAAGACGTCCAGAATTCAAGAAATCCAAGAAGGGACACCTCAGGGCAATATACTCTCGCCCATTAATTTTATACAACATTTTTGTTTCAGACGTACCAACAGATCCAAGAACAATTACGGACCTCTACGCAGACGATACGGCAATGTATGCAACACAAAAAAAATAATTGAAGAATAGTCCAAAACATAGAAAACCACCTCGGAAGAATCACAGACTAAACCGAAAAATGGAAGATCAAAATCAACGCCCAAAAGACGCAATTCATCATATTTACTCAGGAAAGTCCACTTCTTCTTAGAGTGCCATATCCCTACGGAACGTCGGCGACTACCGACTACCATGCTTATAATATTATTATACTGATCTCGGTCTTGGGCTACGTGTAGCAATTGGTCCGCTGTCAAACCTGTCCACTGCCGCAAATTCCTCAACCAAGAGAGTTTCTTCCGTCCTATCCATTTCTTTCCTTCGATTTTACCGTTGAGAATTAGCTGAAGGAACTCATATCTTGGTCCTCTGATTATATATCCAAGATATTCTAGTTTAATAATAGAGTTCGTTGATGTCCCATTCTTCGAAGAACTTCTTCGTTTCTGGTTCTGCTAGTCCATGGAAGAATAGTCCAAAACATAGAAAACCACCTCGGA